TGGTAGTGATGAAGCAAGAAGACTGGTGTAGGAGAGAGATAAGATGACTTGGGAGTGGTGTACAGTGGTAGCAGTAACAGTGGAAAAATAATGAATTTAAAATATATTTTGAAGTAAACTACAGAAGGTGATGGAATGAAAAGAGAACAGTGTATTCAAGAGTGATACAAATGGTTTTGCCCTACATTTTGGGTGCAAGATGGGACCATTTCTTAAGATTTGGAACACTGGGATTAGAATGGTAGACTGCCCTCATGCATCTGAAGTAGGACTTTCTCAACTCCATTCATCATTTAAGCCATCTTCTCCTTGTGACCCTCATTTTTATTTAGCAAATATTTGCTAAATGCTCATCAGATACCATGTATTGTGCTAGAAGGCTGGTATTTACAGTAAAAATGAAGATACATTTGCTCCTATTCTGTAACTTCTAGGATAACAGTGGAAATAGGGAAGACAATCAAATAATTATGCATTTAAAATGAAATTGTGATGGTGAGTGTGATGACTGATGAAAATAAGAGGTAAATAATACTATGGTACACTACATAAACTGATTTGACCTACCGATGAATGTTTCAAAAGTTTTCATCAACAAACTATATTAAACTTTACAGCAGATCAATAATTTTGTGATGGGAAAATAAGAAACTTAAAGTTCTTAGAACAGGAAGGAATTTGGTAAATACTTGAAACTCTTAAAAGATGAGGAATTTAGTCTGGATTCTTTAACAGCAGGGCCTGAAGGTTTCAGTGCACAAAATCCTAACTTTCTATAGAGTGCAGTCCTGTGGAGGAAGCATGAGGGAAAAGGTAAGACAGCAAGGACTGGAGAACCAATTCTGCTGTTAAATACAAATGGCAGCTTTATCCCTTGGGGCCTTCCTTTGTAAGGGAAGGGAGTAGCAGGAAGGAGAAAATGGAAGAATGTTCAAATGTACCCACCAGGTCTCTTTTCCCATTGGATAAATAAATATTTGCTTGACAAGGTATTAATTTTTTCCAAACCTCTAGGCTGAGTATAAATGGGCACTCAGCAGAGGTGCACAACATCTCATGCCCTTGTGTTAATTAATACAAGAGATCCAGGCAAGGGTCTGTCATAGGCACTGAGGTTAGTTAGTCATAGTCCTCATCATCCATGTAGAGCTGCTTATTCCAGTGTGGGCTGCCCCAAGGCAAACGAGTCCTGGAAGATCTAAAGCAGAGCCCAAGAAACACTGAACTTAGTCATTAGGACTCGGAGTAAGAGACCAAGAAAAATTGGGAAAAATTTGCTCATGTGGAACACTGAAAGTTTCATGATTTTTTTCTCATATTAAAAGAAATAAAACAGACATTCTTTTGACCTTGTTCATAGTTTATAAACTGCATGAATGGTTTAAAAATCAATTTGCCCAGTAAGATAAAAAAAAATTTAAAAAAAGATCAGAGGTGTACACAGAAAAAGAAATTAGCATAAAAGTGATCTAGGGAGCCGCAGCATGTTGGTGCATACCTATAATCACAGCACTGTACAAGGATGCGGCAAAAAGATCATAAATTAGAGCTCAGCCTGGGCCACAGAAGCTTAGCCAGAGATCTTATCTCAAAATAAAAACTAGAGAAATCCCTGGGAATGCAGTTGTTATGGTTGATACATTGTGTCATCTTGAGGATCGGCGAGGTTTGGCTAAGTGACTCAGCAGTTCTGCATCTTGGGGTGAAAAGGACATGCCCTTATCCTTCTGGGATGTTGTTCATTGTGTCAATTTCAGAAGTTTAGAAGGTTAACTATGAGACTGAGCAGGAGCCAGGGTCCTTACTTTGTATCATCCTGAGCCTGTGCAAGAGGAGGTCGTGGAGATTACGTGAGTGCTGCACACCCCTGGGTGGTGGTAGCCTGCCTACAATATAAGGGAGGGAAAGAGGCTTGCTCTTCTCTGTCACTCCTCCCCTTTGCTCTTGTTGCTTTGCTGTTCCACCACCATGAACTGTTGCCCTCTGCCATGTGCCATTCTGCCTTGGAGCCAGCCATGTATGGACTGAAACCTCCACAAACTGTAAACTAAATAAACCTTTCCTTCCTTCATTTTGGGAATTGAGTATTTTGCCTCAGCAACAAAAGAAAAGTAACCAAGATAATAGCTCAGTGGGAAGGCTCTGGATTCAATCCCTAGTACCATATCCTCTATTTCCTCAAAAAGCAGTCCAGCCTAATAGGTTACAGTGCTGGGTTACAAAGCCAGGAGATACACGACAAGGTAACAACAGGCTCTTTTAATGGGTCAGGCATGAGAGTTGAGAAGTGTCATACAGAAGCTGGTACCTGAGATCAAGTGTTGACTAACTGAATAGAAAATGTTATCCCTCACTGAACAATGCAGTGGATGGTAGGAAATAGCTAAAAGGAAAATTATGCATTCATTTTTACAAAACTGAGTTAAGCATATGTTTCAGACATCAGAAAACATCAAATAGAAAGTCATATGTTAAAACCTCAGATATCAGAAGAGTACCGAGGTAAAGCAACTTGAAGTCACCTGTCTGGATACAGAAATTGAAGCTTGGATGGAAGTCAAATCTTAGGAAGGTGATAAACTGGAGAGGAGCCCTAAGGTTGAGTCTGCAAATAACTCTGAGGTCTATCAGGATCAGACTCTATGTTCTCCTGGCAGTTTGTAATGTACCAATTTACCAGTATTTCCAAAATATTTCGATAATTTTTTTTTTTTTTTTACAGAATCAGTGATTTGAGAAAAATCTTTTGGAAAAGTCTATTGATGATAGCTGTGGCAAATTTTAGATTTTTTTTCATCCTGCTACAAATAGACCCATTAGTAAACATTCTGCTCCATATGTTAAAGGAACTTATGTAACTGAATGATAGTGTAATATTATTTCTTTCAGATAACATCTGAGAATTTTCATTTCTTAGACTTTCTCTGTTTTTGCATAAAGTGTAAGATACCACCTCATACCATGTTATAAATACAAGGAAAACCTCATTGTATTAACACATTTCTGACCATATACTAAAGGTTTTTGAAAAGCTTGCACTTATGTTTATCTGACATAAATCTAATTTCTTTTGGCAATAGATCCTTTCCATAAGTGAGATGTCATGAATTCGAGGATACTTGGCTTAAAATCCACTGCTTTATTCTACTTTAGGGTTTAAAAATGAGAATACTAAAAGAGGAAAAGGTCCTGTTTTAGGTTTTTGGGTTTTGATAAGGAAACACAAATACCAAATTAAAAACATTTGGGACAGCTACAGTACTATTGAAGCTACTTCTGCTAACAAAGTTCTATTTCTCAAAATTGTGGGTGGAATTATGACATTTTAAAAATCATATAAAAACAATTTTTCTAAATTATCACTTTTGGGGCTGGGGATTTAGCTCAGCGGCAAAAAGCACCTGCCTGGCAAGAGCAAGGTCATGAGTTCGGTTCCCAGTACCGGAGAAAAACCAAAAAAAAAAAAAAAATTATCACTTTTTAGGCTGCATACTTTTAGTGGTTTTATACAATAAATTATTTTTCCCCTATATTGTATCTTGTCCCATCTTAGATCAAAAAGTTGTAGACATGATCAATGTCAACATTAAACAAAAACATTTTTGTTTAACATTTTTAAGGGGATGTGAAGGAATTGGAAAAGGAAAAATTATACTATCATAATGATTATTAGCCTTAGTTTTGGAACTAGATACCCTAGGGTTTAATTTAAGTCCTAGCTCATAGTGGCTACACTTTCTAATTTACTTAATTATGCACACAATTATTCTACAAACCAAAAAAAGATGTTTGCAGAATAAATGTGATCATGTATGTATGGTCCTTACTATAAAGTGTTTTAAAATAACAATTTTCACTAGTTTATCTGTTAAGGCAAACAGGGTATCCAAATTCTAAAACTTTAAGTCAAAATGATCCGCTAGATATATGTGAAAATGTAACATATTAGACATTTTCTTGAAACATTTCTACATTTTTCTGAAAAATAATTAGGGAATACAGTGATCCCTCACCTATTGTGGGAGTTACTTTCCAGAGACCCCTGCAGTAGGTGAAAATCCATGAAGTAGCAGTGTTATATTCATTTTATTTTTTATATATATTTTAAGGCTTTCTAAACCCCTCCCACACTCCTATAAACCTCTCCAACTCTCTTATTAACCTTTCCCGTACTCTTATAAACACTTCATATGCTCTTAAACACATTCTGCACTCTTAAACCTACGCAATTTTAACAACATGTAAAATTCCCTATGAGTACTTGTGAAGTGGACAAGGAGAGATGCTGAACATATGGGCACAGTGTGGGAGAGCAAACAGACCGATACTATGGTCACTGAACCAATCAGCACCCAGAATACAGGACACAGTGCTGTGGTTGGTCACCTCACATTCCTTCAGCTGATAGTGTTCCCTGTACAATCTAACACTGGCAAATTTGCACAAGCGGTAGTGGTGTACTGTATTTCCATTGTGTATAGGATGGTATTCGTCCTCTGATGAAGTATATAGTGTATTTTATTTTGATTTAACATTCCTTCAATATGATTGAATTAACATTTTTATATTGTTTTAAGTTTTTAGGCAAAAATAATTAAAATCATAAATGTTATATAAATACCTATATACCGCAAAACACTGTGATATAGAGAAAACTCCATGATACAGAATTAGATATATGTATTTTTTAAAACCCATGATTCAATGAAGCTGCAATAAGTGAACCATGATATAGTAAGGGATGACTATATATATTTATCTTCGGGTTGATACTTATCATAACTATAAACTTCATTGTTGTGTTATATTTTAAAGATCTTGATGATATCAAGTACTATATTTGCAACTACAGTAGGCCAAATAAAAATATTTTATTTATAATTCATTTATATGTCATTATTTTTACTTCATTTATAGGTATTCCAGAATCTGGAGCAACTGGTGTTAAAGTTGATATAGAAATTACAATTCTTCTTAAATGGACAGAAAGAATACAAACATTTTTAGAGTACATGAAGTTGAACTTTTATTTGGAAAGCTGAATTTCATGTGTAATGAAAATATTTTTCAATGATACATATTCATAAACATAATACAAACACCACTTTCAATACAAACACATTTAATAAAGTTCTACTATGAATATTACTCTAAGTGAATAAAAAAGGTAATCAGGTGAACCTGCTGTATTTTACCACTTTTGATGATGTAATAAAACAGTTTAGGATACAAAACAAAGTAAGCTGTGGCTCAACCCTACTAATTTCACTATACGAACACTAGGCTACATACTACCACAATCCCATTACAAACCCAAGCCTATTAGAACCAAAGTAAAATTCGACAAGAATTGTATCATAATGGCATGTAAACATTTTAAGATTTAAATTGGCAATTATGTTTAATTGCTTAGAAAACACACCAACATTTCTCATTATTGTCCTCCTCTCTTCAGCTTATCTCTTCCATGAGTATAAAATAGGAAAAAATATTATTCGAGACTTCCAGCATAATTCCATTGTGCTCTACATTTTTATAAATATGGATACATCTAAAATATCAGATGCCTTTCTACCAATAGAATAAATTCACCAAATTCACATTCTCTTATAAATATGCATGCAAAATGAGTGGAAAACACTTTTGTATAGCAAAGACCCTGCTTCATTTTCTTTTGATTATTTTCAGTGGCATGTGCAAATCATACTGCTCAGCGAACAGTAGATTTAATTTTTTTTCTGTAGATGTTTTTCTATAAAAATATACTTATGTGCTCACAGGCAAAAGGTTAGGTTGGTGTGTGGGGGTGAGTTTAGATACATAATTCAATTACAGATTTGTTTATGAAGTTAGAAGGCATCTTAGTTTTATCATTTGCAAATTTTTCTTCATAAAAAAGAACACCCTGTGACAAAGATTTATAAGCACTTTATAGATGAGAGAGTTTGAAGCAAAGTTGTTAAGCAACGTCCCTAAGGTTTATGTACAAACTTCAGTGCTGGAACCAGGAAGAGAACTTGGACTTTCCTGACCCATAGACCATCTTGCATGAACTGATCCCCGTCCACAGTCCTTGAAGTTACATACAATCTATGACAATAAATAACATATGGAGTAGGCTCCAGAACGTTATTGCAAAGCTGGTTAAGAAAAAAAAAGGTTCTGAAAATTTGCTACTGTTTATCACTCAGTGGGATTTTGCAAATAATTCTTGCCCATTTATATTCATTGAACACCATAGATTTTGTTTCTTATTTCTTAAGTGGAAATAATAAAATTCATCTCAAACTACTTGGATTTTTTTATAAAATACACAAGTAACATAATTTCACAATTAAAATAAAAAAGAAGCCATGGACTATTCCTGCTGTGCTGAAGATTCTCAAGAGAAGTTAAGTAGTATTGAGGAAAGAGACCAAAGAATAATAGCAAAAGTTAGTTGTAATTTAGCCTCATTTTTTTATGTTCATAAGTTTTGACTACCCTGTAGCTATGACTACAATACCCTTGCTTCCCAGGCAGCTAAAGGAGAACATTGAAGTTTACAAAGATCAAACATTTCAGTGATTGTGTTAACTTCTAACTTAGAAATGATTAAATTTATAAAGAATATACAATCTAGTTTTTAGAAATGATTTCTAGCTTGCATGACCTTCTTAAGATCATTTTTTGGCTGTGACAAAGATGAGGAAGTAGAATGATAGCAAAATTAAACCTGAAAGCCCTCACCTTCACCTCTTCAGTAGCTGACAATCACAAATTACTCCCAGATATATCAACATGTGACAATTCTTCTTCCGGAAAATCTGTGTCAGAAATCAGATGGAGATGGAGTTCAAATTGCACTGACGCAGGCATGGATCCTTACACTCATGCAGGTGAAGGACTCTTTACTTACTGGAGGGTAGGCAAACTATGAGCCCATGAAGTGTGTTTTGGAATAAGACATACTTTTGCTGCCTATGCATCTTAGAGGATACATAAAGTTCAAAAGGACAACTAGATATCCTATGTGCATTACTACGTGGACCATTATAAATGTCCCCAAGTTTGGTCCCCAAGAGATATAATGGATCACATAAATCAAAGTTGAGGGTTTAACAATATACATCATTAATTACAGTTCAAAGACTAAAGTAAGATCTGTGAATCAATTTCATAAGCATAATTAATAGTTTCAGGGTAAGGTTAAAAACTGTTTCCATAAAGTGAGAAGTTAAATACTAATTTTACTGATATATATGCACAGTTCTTTATACCATTTCTAAAATATTCTCATTTGCCATTTTAAAAGCATTAGTAGCTCACATGCCAGGAAATAAATTCCCTGAATTTATACCAACTTTTACACAAGGAAAACATAGAAAACAAAAGACATTTACCATAAATACATTTAAAGTGTGATAGAGACAAACATATCCATAGGAATTGCTATTAGAAACACATTCCTTTATTATGGCTGGGGTAGGGATACATTCAATAACAAAAACTTATTTTGAAAAATATGAAAACATTTCCCTCAATATTTATATGATATTTTATTTTGCTATTGTTTAATAAAAGCAATATAAGAACAAAATCCAAATGCTTTATACAGCCTTCAGGTTTGTAACCTTATGTTATTGTTTGAAACCATGGAATGATTAACTTCAGCTGTACAGTCATGCCTATCCTCACACTTCAAAATAAAACACATCTATATTTTAAAATTGTGTAAATATGAACATCATATGTACAATGCATTCATGAAATATATGCAAGCATACCATCATATAAACATACAAAGAAATAAAAGCAGTGAATTTAGAAAGGAAGATATTAAAGGGACAAACCGATTAGAATCCGACCATTGGCACCTTATTCCTGTCCTTCACAAAATAACGTTTTGCCCAACACTCCCTTTGCAGCTTGCGTTAGTCAAAGAAACAAAGAAGTCTGTTGTGGATGTCATAACTGATGAAAATTAAAAATTCCTGCTGAAATTTAAAAAGCTGTAATTGTTTAAACCTTAATATCTCTGGGCAATTAGAAGCTCAATAAATACTTGTGGAATGCTTGCCTAAGACTTTTGCTACAAAAAATTAAATAATAAATTTAGACTGTATATATTCAATGCACTGTTTTAATAAGACATTCACATTCCTTTTTACATTTTAAATAACCAGTTTGCTTACAATCTTTTAACCTGTGGTGAAGCAAAGTCACTCAGACAGTTCAGAGACTGAATACAAATGTGCATACAGAGATAAACCCACAGCACGGCAACATCTACGCAAACCCACTGTGTAGTAACATCAGGCAGATACAGAATACGCCAAATGAGTGCTTTGGATTTAGAGGAAGTGTGTCTAAATACAGGATTTGTTTTATATTCTGCATTTGCAGCACCTGAAAACAAAAACAAAACGTAGGCTGGATATGGTTGCTGTTTTAGTTTTTGAGGGCAGTGCTACTGTCCACATAATTTCAGGATATCACATTCTGGATACATTCTTCCAACACGTTTCTATTCCTATATGAAAGTTCTTGCTCCTTTGAACAGATAAATATGAAAAGTGGGAGTGAGCCATCAATGTTATGTGCATGTGTTGTGTTTATGCCCGGAGTGGAAATGTTGCTGTAGAACTTCCATTGCTTTCAACAGATCCCTTCTCCTTCGATCCAGCGTAAGCGCCAATAAATGATCCATCTTCATTGAAAAGCCCATGGTCTCCCTCCCCGTATTGGACTAAGCTGTCAGCACTTTCTGTAGGCTGCATATCCCTATGGAGGGAGCGAAGACTTCCTTTGAGAGGTTTTTCATCACTATCACTAGAAAACAAGCCAAAAAAAAAATAGTTTAACAAAAGTTTATATTTATATTCACATAAAGCGTTCTTAAATACTAATAGGTTTCATAATTTTCAGGACATTAGTGTCATCATGGAAGAGACTGGAACTCAAATAACTTAAATAACATATGAGCAAACAAGTGTTTAAAAAGTTGCAAACAACTGACATCATTTTGAGTGATAGATAAATGGTATTCAATTATTCACAATATTTCTGCTTCTCTTTAAAATCGGGAGATTTGGGGGGTTATGTGGCCATTAACACTCATACACAGAATCACTATGTAAATGTTTGTGTGTTCCTGACATTCGTATGCTGCATTTCTAAGCTCTGACGTCACAGCAATAAGAGCTAGGGTCTTTAAGACATAAGTAGTCACGAGGGTGAAAATCTCATGAATGGGATTAGTACCCTAATAAATGAGGGCTGACAGAACTACCTTGCCCCTGCCACCATATGGGGATGGAAGGAGAAAGCGCTATCTGTGAACAAGAAAGCTAACTCTAACCGGACACTGAATCTGCCATTACCTTGATCTCACACTTTCCAGCAACCAGAACTATGACAAGTAGTTTTTTGCTGCTTATCAACTGTGCAGTTTATGCTATTTTGTAATAGCAGCACGAACAGACTGAGACAGACAATATTGTTTCCCTTACTTCACAGAATTTAGGAGCTCCTAGACCCCAAGTCTTAACTTGCTGTTTTTATTTTTGATAGATTTTTTCCTTATCCTTCCAACATTTTCTTTTGCTTAGGCTAATCAATCAAATTCTGTTGCTTGCAAAGAGCTCTCTTTAATTGTGTTATCAAACCCAGATTTGTACATGTTGTGAGTACACTATGTTTCTGGTATGGATTTTATCCTTCAAGAAAAGCAAATCTGAGTTAGTAATGCACATATAAAATGATACAATCTTATAAATTTATGCTCAAGACTTTAAAAATTACCAAATAGTATTATAAATCTATATATCAAAGAAAATGATTTTTATAAAATCTGTAAAAGGAACAATGTGGGAAAAAATTAAAAGATGTAGGGTATTTAATAATTTGTGATATTTATCAGTTGTGTTCATCAATTGTGTCCAGACTCACCTTTCTGAGAAGCCAGTGTTTTTCTCCTACTCTTATTTATATATGATCAGGTGGCTTGATTTGGCCAAGGAAAAGTGAGCAAAAGGGGACACATGTCACTTCCAAGTGGGAGATTTAGAGACCATGTTTCATTTCTCATGTTTGGTTTCCACAGCTCTGGCAACCCAAATCCTCATACAGCACCTGATGCTCCTAAGTGAATAGTTGATCATAGCAATGTGTGTTGTTACCCAACTTGAGAACATTTGGAAGTAAGTGTTTTTTACAGCAGCATAGTCCAAGCTGTCTGGACTGAGAGAATGATTTGCTCCAGAATTAGGATGTCACATTCCAAAAACAAAACAAATCAACATAACACAAAACAAAACAAAACATGCAACATTGACTGAGGGGACATGCAACAAGTGATAAAATAAGGAAGAAAATATTACAAGAAGCTGCAGAGATGTGAATTCATGTTATTTAAGGTCACAGCATCCTGAAAAACTGTCTCCTGAGATAACTTGGATATAATTTATCTGATGAATGTGTAGTTTTGGAACAAGAAATTGGAAGATACATTAAGTACTATGAAGGGATGTCACAAAATAGTGCAGGAGATAATGTTACCTATGTTTTTAAAGAAGCAGCAGAGTATAGGGAAATGGGTTTTTCAGACAAGGCACTGATTTAGTTTTACTCTGGAATTTGTTTCCTATAAACCTAAACTAATATTTTCTTTCAAAATATTTTGGACAGCTGTCACAGATCCTAAATAATTCTGACCTTACGGAATTTGAGTCCTTGTATATAACCTCATCTCCTTTATCATGGGCTTGACTTACAGACTCACTTCTGTAGGGCACAAGAAAAGTGATAGATGTCACTGTCAACAAGAAGTTACAAAAGTTTCTAGCTAAGATGGCCTCTCCTGCTTACTCTGAAGACAGGCAGCCTCCATATGGCAAGCTGCCCTATGGAGAGATTCCCCCAGCATGGAATCAAGAATGATATTTGCTCTGTGAAGACTGATTTCCTTATTTGCACAGTCTGCATGGACCTGAATCCACAGAACTGGACTAAGAAGAGGATCCTGCTGCAGCCAAACCTTTAGATGAGAAGACAGTCCTGGCCAACAGCCTGTTGCCACACTCTGAGAGACCCTCAGCTGTAGGCACAGCACCATTAAGCCATAGCCAGACTTCTGACTCCGGAGCTCCGAGATAAGTGTTTACTGAAGATATTGGGAATAATTGTTACAAAGCAACGTAACAAATATAGCAGCAACATGCAAAATTCGTAATGGTCAAAATGCAGTAATTTCTCTGTGTTTCTATCTGTCTCTGTCTCTTTCGGTCTTCCTCTTTTATTCTTGAAAGAATTTAAAGTCATTCATGAAGAAATACAAAACCATAAAAGGAGAGTGCTAAGTAGAAGAAATAACAAGTACAGATTAAGAAGAGATATGATGAGATTCAAATATGTATCAATTATCTCAAGGTAGCTAATCAGAATACCCACTATCCTTGGTTACAGTGAAGGGCACAACAGTAAGGCATTGAGGGCCAATCAGATATCTTATTTGATATGGATTTTGGCATCATGTTATTATAAACTTGATATGAACTAGGATCTTAAAATAAATCTCTTGGCCACAAACACAGAAAAATTGATTAAAATGTGATGACATACAAACCAAAAAGAGCTAAGAAATGGAGAGGCTGTTGAAATAAAAGAATATAGAGAGATATAACCTGAGAAAGAGATGTTTTAACATTTCTTCAAGAGCTACATACTTCATACTTGACCTCTTGCTAGTTCTCCTATCTTAGGCACCTTTTATAGTCATAGATTTGATGTTCTGCAGTTCTCGACCCTGGCTTATTTCCTTTTGGATGATTATACTTACAGAATTCCTTCTAGACAGAAGTACATGCTCCCGTTTATGTTATCTTATTCTAATTCATTAATAACAGTTATTTGCATGTATTTTTTTCCTCTGCAAACTAGGTTCATGTGTTTGTAACCTTTTTATCATGGTAGGTACACATAGAAGACTTACGATATGTGTCTGCTATGAAAATTAAGTGGAATGCAAATTCATAATGGCTTCAAGATGTTTTAGTTACTCTAAATCGTATAAGTAAAAGTGAACTGCTTTTGTTACACATAGAACTTTCAGAAACCTAATTCACCTACTTCCCACCAAAACTGTGGGTAATATGTTCACCCTGTACGTAGAAATTTGGTTCCTACCACTAAAGTAAACCCTATTTATGCAAAGTATTCATAATAAAGCATTACAATATAGTCTCTCAACTATTGTTTTAAGAATAAACATTTTTGGTCCATTTAACAAACCTGATGAATATATATTTTGATCCATTATTCAGTGGGAAGCTACATTTACCTGTATTCACCAAATGTTTCATCTTTAGCTGATTGAATTTCTGGATCTGGGTGTAAATCTTCCTTTTCTTTTACTATAAAAAATAGAGGGAAAATTATACATAGACTTTTCAAAGAGATTTTCAGCAGTGCTGTTAAAATACGTGTAATATTAGCGTTACAAGTTTTCCTATGACTAAATTTCATGCTCTGTCTGTGTTTAAATGAATAAGAAAAGTTATTTTGGAGGTTCTAATTTATTATTTAGTTTTCAGCATGTAGCAAATATTTATGTTTTTATTACATGGGCAACAAGTCTTATCAAAAGATTCTATTTTGATAGTTTCTCAATGATGGCCAAATTAGTCAATATTTTTTAAAATAAATTACCATGTTAGGTCTATGTCATTAAACTAACATGAATGATAAGAGTCAATCCTTTAATTATTGTACATCACTGTCTTACTCAAAGTTGTCTCAGAATGTTAATGTGTGTAGTAATATTTTCAATTTAGATTTTATTCTAAATAATGCAATAAAACTTGCTGCTTTTCTCAGAAAATTCAAATAAACCAAACCTGGTGGCATTTTTCACTCTGACTTACTAGAAGGTTCTCTTAGTCACCCAATAATGTGAAAGGTACTTTATTTTTCATTTAAGGATATGATTTGAGGAAGTTCTTTAGAAAATGGATGGGTCTGTACTTCAGAAATGGTTATTAGTTGAGAATACTCAAAGGGGAATGCTCAATTTTCTTAAACCTTCTAATGATTTATCTTGAGTATTTATTAGTCATTGAGAAAATAATACATAACAATTCAGACACTATAGGAAAAAGTAAAATGTGTAACTGCATAAATTATCCATGTAACTTTATGCAAAAGCTTAGGAATCATGCATTTGTTACCTCCGAGTACTTGATAAATTCTCAATAAATACTTACTGGAAGAACCTCAAGTCAATAAAAAAACCCTCACTAATCTGAATGTCACCAAACTCATAGAAGTGGCATCTAAATAAATCTTTCTCTTCACATAAGAACACTGTGAATACTAAGGAAAATTATACATATATATACAAAAAATGTAATATAATTATATAGATAGATATATGTACATATCTATATCTGAAAGAGACAAAATAAATTTGGATGCTGAATTTAATTAAAATAAAAGTGTTAACAACTAGGATGTTTTTATTTCTACTTTATGTTCATATTCATATTTGTTTACTTATATTTAATATACCATTAATCAAAGAGGTAGTATATCTAATCCATGCTGTCATAATGAAAAAAAAAATGCATCCTTGCAGTGGTTGAAATGGGAGACAGTGGTACTAGAGTATATTGCTAAAAACTATCCCAAGCCTTCTATGTATATAGAAATGTGCTATAGATGGCTCCCTTCTTTTTAAGATGTTAAAATATGTACCATTAAAGAGTAGATCTCAGTATCTGTGATATTTTAAGGATGGAAAGCAGAAAGTTAGAAATATTACAAACCATGTCCCTGTGTTGTTAAGTACTAGAAATGAGAAAACAAGCATTCAGTTCAAGATAATGTTATAGATAATGGTGGCAAACCTATGACACACGTGTTATTGATTTTCTTTTAATACAAAAGTGTTAATGTATGAGTTGCTTTTTCTAAACTAAGATCTCAGTATTTTGATTTAATTGCAGTGTTGGTACTTTGTGATACATAAGTGGATTTCAGGTTGCAATTGGGCACTTGGTCTCCAAAGGTTCTTCACTGTGATTATAGATCATCTATATGCCTCTGATAAGTTAAATTAGCAATACTATTTTCCATCTACGTTATTATATATCTCAATTGCTAATATAAATTTGGCTTCAGTTGCAATTAAAAAAAATGAAAACTTTGAAGAGTACTCCTAGAAATTACTATTTGATAAGTAATAACTGTTTTACCTGAATACTTTCCTCCTTTGTTCCTCTTCACAAAGCAAACAGTTAACAATATTAGTGTAAGAAGTGCAATGGCGCACATCAGTCCAATAAACCAGCCTTGAGTGGAGATGTCATCATATAAACCAGCATACTCTGTTGTATAAAGAGAAGTCACAAAACTAAATACTAGAAAATCTTTGTCATTATGTTATTTTGGGAAAAGCAGACATTATTACTAAGAAAACAAAATAGCATCTATTTTATTTCTCCTCTCAATGTTCCTAGAGAAAAAGTGATCTGAAGGATATCTTATTAGGAGAACACTAGGAAATCATTTTTCCTTGATTAAGAAAGGACCTTAAAGTTGCATTGGATTCTTAGTATGAGACCCAAAAGGGATAGAGAAGGTGAATGGCATCAAGTGCAGAATAGCAGGGAGCAAGCAGAAGCACAAGCTGCCTGGGTTATGCATAGATCACCATGCAGCTTTTTGTGTTTCAATTGCATGGTTTGTCTATTTGTTTTAGTTTTTGTTATTAAAACATGTTAATTAGCAAGATATATTTCGAGGCAATTATTCTTGTAAAGTCATTACGAGATAAGTCGTAGCATTATGAAACATTTTTCCTTTTGACGATTTTACAATTCTTTCCCAAAAGAGTTGAAACTATGATGATTATAGCTAATATGCTCAATATTCTTATCTTTAATGTTTGATATATATATAAAATTAATCCACTTGCACAGAAGTATTATCTAAGACTACCCCAAATACAATCTCATTTCTCACCTCTCCCTCTTGTCTCAATTACATCTTGAAAAATGCTATCGTTATCACCCCAATTCTTAGTCATTAGGCGAACTATATGTTCCGCTCCCGGCTCAAATACCTCTACTGGGTGAATCTTTTGAGTAAGATTTACTCCTTCTGATATCTTCCTGATACCTTTACCTACGAAAGGTACACAGTTAATTCATATGAATTGTGGTTATTGAAAGGCAGGTCATGAAAGATTAAGAAAATTACTGTTATTTGAGATGGAAAAAAATCATTTTTGCATTTTAATAGCTCCTGAATTATCAGGAGATCAAGAAATTATCATCTCAAGGTTTTCTCTCTTAATATACTGAAAATGAATGCATGAAATGACTTCAATTCATGGCCACTTAAGACATGAATGAAGTGCTACTATAAATCTGCCTGGTCATGTGAATGGTTTAAAACCAGACACAGACTTTTAAAAAATTAAATATATAATTTTTGTTAGTAAAAAATTGGATGTAGCCACTTGGGCTTAGAATATGTAATAGTATAATTTTAGCCAGATGTATATATTATCATAAGTATATATTAAAAAGTATATATTATTTGTATTTATATATTCTTTTCTTATTTGTATTTATATATTATTTGTATTTATATATTTCATCTTGGCTCTCTCCATAAATTCTATGGAATAATATCATGATATGGTCATATAATAAGTATTTTAAATTTGTAAAACAAAATATATTAAAATGCAGGTTTATAGCTACATTCAAATGGAATGATTTCACTGACATTTTGAAAGTGATGTAAGAAATTGACACTTTTCCAAAGAAATTATCAAAACATCAATATAACTGTAGAATTTTATATGACAGATGATAATGGCACTAAATATATATCAGTTTTTGATCCTGCAAAGAGTATGTAAGCTATTTTTAATTTGATTCATATGTGCAATAAGAATAAACTCTGTATAGTAAATGAAAACAGTAATATTTAACAATTCATACATGAAATAAATATAAGTTCCTAAGAATATGAGGAGATACAAAATTGTTTTAAGTGGGTATATGGTAACATATATACTTGGATATAACTTTTTATCATAAAATAAAAATTGATTGCATAGTTACTGAATAACAAAGGAGCTTCATTAAAAATGGCACCAGGAAAGACATAACTCCAGTTATAATGTTGAGCAAAGCCTTTAAATCTGATCACCATTGAAAAGGCATGCAATTAATTTTGACTTTGAAAACAGAAATATTAGTATAATGTTAAGCAATGCAAGCTTTTGGGGAACAAAAGCAAAGTGATTTATTCACATCACCAATGACACAAAATAATATTTCTAATGAACTCTATCCTTTCTCCCGTCTTGGACTACTGAATGACAATCTCCTGAAAATTGAAGAAACAGCCAGAAAACAATCATAAAATAATACATGTGTGTTAAATTCTCCATTGTGAATCAATGTGAAATAATCCTGAAATGTGTTATCTAGGCAGATACAAGAAGAAAGGTTTGCTTAGTGGTAGATTCAAAATTGCATAAAAGTGATAATCTCTAGAGTGCTTAGTGATATCAAAATGTATCTCTGCAGTGGAAATATATTTTTTCAAAGACCATGTCAAAATCCAGTGGGAAAAGATAATACAAATATTTCCCTGCAAATATGGCAAGTTATGTCTATAGAAGAGAAATCAGTGTCAACTGGGAAGGGGGCAGTAGCTGGATTACTGAACATGCAGATTCCTGAAAAAGAACACAAACACACTAGTAAGGAACATTTTAAAATTTCTGACAGACAATGAAGATATCTATTTTAAGACTCCAAAATGTATTAGTGACATCTTTAGTTTGCATAAAAGATGAAGCATCACAGTTATATATTACACAAAAGACATTTCAATCCTTCAAAACATAATTTGTCTAATTTTAATGCATCCAGGCCCTAGTTTTCCAATATATAAACTGCAGCACGTAATATCTGTAAGGTAATTTGGTGAATATCTTGCTCTTATATCCTGCAATTGGCAAGAATAAGATGGGCATTTATCAGGAATATTATGATCTTGCCTTTATTAAAATAAACACAGCTCTGGGCCTTCAAATCTGTTTATAGAAAACAAGGAAGCTGTATACCTAGATGACTACTCTTCTGACTTCTCTAAATTGAGTACTTGATGTCCCTGGGTTTAAATCTTTGAAAAATAATAACCTTTAGTTTCCAAAAATTTTCAGCCACCTTCTTGAAGCTTAACTCTCATGATTAGATAAATGAGATCCCCCTTTCACTTGTCTGATTTACCATTGAAAAGAACCTAAGTGTTTCCTGGGGTGTTAACTGAACACGCCTACTGTTCCTCCAGAAGGGAGTTTAAGTATTAAAAGAGCCTGGGTATGGCAGGAAAAGTGGGACTGTAAATATCGGAATAATAATTCATGGGCAAAAGCACTGATTTACAAACACCTATTATAAGGCACATCTGTAATAAATTACAGATAATTTAACTGACGTCTTTACTATTTTTCTTCTTCCTGCTATTTCTTCCATTAAGTGTGTTGTTTTTCTATGTTACCATATACATGCTTCAGAACATCCTATTTACCATGTAATCATTTAACAAATGATTTCATTTAATAAATAAATTTAATCATTTAATAAATGATTCTATGTCCCTTCTATTTCCCATTTCCTTCTCCTTCCCCAAGCCTATGTTTGACCACCCAGAAACTTCCAAACCCTGTCCTTTTGAATTCATTAGTCTATACATTAGCTCTTCTCATCTACTTCCTTTTTAAAATTCTACCTTGCTATTTCTTTGCTGATACATTATAGAATTACAGAAAGCTTAGCAAGAACACTGCTAAAATAATAACTGGAGAAATAATTTGGGAAAGAAAATGACTATAAGGTAGGACAAGACAGAAAAGTGTAATTGGATTAGGAGAGTGTACTGTAAGTGACACCATAGATTCATAGGCTATTTCCAAGCATATTATTTGGCATTAACCCCCCAGGCAGTAAAATAAAACTGACATATGAACGAATGTACACATAAATTAAGGCAGGAAAATGAGCTATATGAGATCTGCTCTGTGAAATGTTTATCAAGACAAAAGGTAAATGTTTTTCTTTATGGAAACATTTTACAAAGCAAAGTGCCTCCCTACTAACCTTTTCAATCACTTTATGCCCTATTTGCCCTATTGCAATTAAGAAGAATTACAATACCTGACCCTGTGTGTATTAAACTATGGGGTTTGGTATTGTTCAGAAATCTACAAATTTAGTCAACGTGAACTTTACAAACAAGGTTAATAAATTTTGTACCTATGTCAGCGGAAAACAGAAGGTCAGACAGATTTGAATCATAACCATTTCTAATTCACAGTCAGTAGCATGGAGAATTCCTTTCAGGGCAGTTGTTTAAAACATGCAGAAGGCTCAAGTACTTACTCCCTTCTCCTAAGGTGGCACTTTCCTCAGTGACTGGTTTCCCACAGCCTTTTGAAGTACAAGCCCTCAAGTAGAACTTGTACTTGGTAGTTGCACTGAGATTTGAGAGATGCCAGCTGGACTTTGACGGAGTTGTAATATTGATATCATTTAATTCTCCAATCTCATCTGTGTCATTTACTAAAGAAATAAATATTGAACAATGATGCCTCAAGTTTCACAGTGCCTAATTTAAAGTTATATTGCCTTTTATTTTTCCCTTCTTGTTCTTGTGTTATGCAAATAATTATCTTAATTATTCATAGCCATCAACACATTTAATCCTTTGTCATAGATGCTGTTACTATGGCCATATCATACATGCGAAAACTGAGATCTATCAAGAATAAACACTTTGCCCAGATCCAGATCAATTAAGTGGCAACCTGAGATTTGAGTAACCCACGGTCTTTTGGCCCTATGGACTACATTTTGAATCACTATGTCACAATGGAGAAAAAGATCTTCATATTGAAAATAATGGACCTTTCAAAATTACTTTATTTTCATTCTATCCTTGATGTAAGTACTTGATCATCCTCTGGAGGAATAATATGAATGATATGTGTCTTCTATGGTTTCTAGCTTAATATGTGGCAACAAAGAAGTACAGATGCTCCTTGAATTACACTAACATTACATCCTGATAAGCCGCTCATTAGTTGAAAATATTGTAAATCGAGGAAGCATTTAATGTGCTTACTTTGGCAGCACATGTACTAATAAAGCATTTAATGTACCTAAACTTCTGAATATCACAGATTAGCAACACAGCGCAGCATAGAGAATCAGTGGTGTAGTCTCATGATCATGTGGCTGACTGGAGCTGCTGCTCAGTGCCTTTGTCCAGAATCACATGAAAATACCCCTAGTATAGGGAAAGATCAAACCTTGGAATATCATATTCATTGCACGCATTCTCAGCCTCATAAGGTCGAACCATCATTAAGTCAGAACCATTCGAACTTTCTCTATATACAATGAATAAAGTCATGTTTTTGTTTTTGTTTTTCTTCTGGTACCAGGAATCAAACTCATGACCTTGTGCTTGCCAGGCAGGTGCTGTGCTGCTGAGCTAAATCCGCAGCCCCATAAACTGATGAACTAATTAAATATTGTAAAATATCCCCTGCATGGTAAGCACTGTGCAAATTGTTGAGGGGTAAAAACCTCATTAGATAGTTTGCTTTAAATAATGTGTACATGAGCACAACATACAGTAAGACTACTGTAAGAACAGTCCACATGATGAACTGACCAAGATCATGCAGCTGTTAGTCATCAAAATATTAATTTAAAAACTACTACAATCAGTATAAGAATCCAAGAAAATATTGAAAACTCTCATCTAGATAACCAGCAATGATTAAGAACATGTAAGAGCAACAACACAAAAGATAAACTACCTAAAAATTTACCAATCATTTAATAGTAACAGAATATATGTAATTATCATGGTATTTAAAAATACATGGACAAGCAGGATAATCATCACAGTGATTAATATTTTATTTCTTGTATGTTTTAAAAATTTGTGTTTAGAATACATTTAAGTCATATTCAGATCAATATGAAGATTAGAATTGAAAAAATGTTGATATTTTATTGTTAGGAAAAAGATGAGACATCTTTAGTGAACAAATTGATATTAAAATGTCTTTAAATATTTTTTCAATTCTTTACACATTTTTAAAAACTGGTTCATGGAATGTACAAGTGGACTAATTTGCTTTGCATCTTTACTTAACACTTACTTCCTGAAAACCTAAATAAATACATATACCCTTTATGCTTTAATTCCTCCTTCCATAAAATAATGACACTACATATATCATAACTGTTTTATTTTAATGAAATAATGCATGGAGAGTATTTGATTCTGATTTGGCTACATAACAAGCACTCAAAAACACTAAAAAATTGCTACTTCTATTTGGCTTATGCCTATATCTAATAAAACATATGCCAATTCAGCACAGACCACCAGAAATTAAAGCTAGTACAACCCTGTCATGGTTGATCTTCAGGTGAAGCATCAGAGTATCAGGGAAATGATTAAATTGCTTTTTGCAAGCAGAGGATCCCAGTTCTCAGTGTTTTGCTACTCAGGAATTCACGTCCTCAAATTCCAATATGTTCAATGCTCAGCTATTACCAAAGTTTTTGTGGTCTCAGTCACCTAATTTCTACTTTGAGATAATGCTTAGATTTGAACACTGTTAGGGTGGAAGGTGCTATGATTTAAAATTGTCTATTTTTGTTTAAACACAGTAATCCAATGGCATAGAAGCACCTAGAAGGAGATTATTCAAAGGAATAGTATGAAGACAGGTCTTCAGTCCTCTTCAATTACCTATTTGAACCAGTGAGGTAATGGAGGATTCTACTAGCACAAGTATGTTTAGGTTGTGATTATAACCATGGATCTGAAGCCAAAGAGACAGCATAGTTTGGTAGCTACATGCACTTTGAATAGCTCCTGTATTACTTACTAAAGCTACTCCTTGAAGTGTTTCTTAATTCTCAAGGCTTCTTGTATGTAAATACTACATATATTCTCTGGCCTCCAATGGTACATTGTTTTATTTCTAGAACAGGTGATAGCAAACCTTTCTGTATTGCCTACATGAAATAGTTAGACTCTGAAGACCATACAGCCCCTTTGCAATGAAAAAATAGCTATCGGGTATATAACTGTGTATATAACTGTGTATAACTGTGTAGTAATGGCCATGCTTCAATAATACTTGACTTACAAAAACCAGACAAGGGCTGAAATGTGACTGCGCTATAACAAAATATGATAGCTCATGAACTATGGACTTAAGTGAGCCTTAGATCATTAATATACAAGCAAACTATTCAACCAAAAATTACAGGCTAGTATAGAAACTTAATTCAAGTTTCTACTTACTTATCTGATATTGTAATAGATATCCAGTTAAGTTTCCATTTAGTTTTGTAGGTCGTTCCCAGGATAAAGTGGCAGTGTCTTTATCAACTTTGATGACCTTGAGCAAAGCTGGCTGTTCAGGTACTAGATAACACAAAACCATCAATGAATATTCATAAATTAGTAAAATTCTGCAGAAAAACTAAAGTCCCATTGGATTACAAATTTTTATTGAAACTGAGACATTAACTCATGCAAAGTACATATTAACTATTAATAAGGAAGGTAATGTTTAATAGGACCATTGGATAATTCCCACTATTGGAATAATTCTTCACTATTACTCTCTCACCTCCTTCTGGTGTTTGAAATACATAAGGTTCACTTTCTGGACCAGCTCCTTTTGAATTGTAGGCTAAGACTGTTAAGTGAAATTCACTAAAAGCATCTAGAGAAGGAACCATCCCATAGTTTCTTTGTCCTGAAAACCTCAGAATGTTTACTTCTTTGGGATGTGTTCTTCCATCCAACAGACTTTTTGTTTTCCACCAATTTATCTGCAATGAAAATATAAGGCCTTTAGCATAGCAGCCATGGTGGTAGATTCTCTTCTGACTTCTTCTGAAAGTGGTTCATGTTCTCAAAGAAGAGATAAGTTGAACAACAAGAAGAAAAAATATGATAAAAACCTGATATCCTTTCAGGTGTCCATGGACTCTGTCCTTTGGAATTGTTGACCAGGTAACTTTAACTAATGTACTGTTTATGATCTCCACACTATGGACCATTGGAGCAGTATCAGGATCTGTTAAGGATGTAACATTGATTAAATTTCAATAATCTCCAAACATGATCACGATGACCCTTTTCCAAAGGTGATATTTATGTTTACTCTGGGAAAAACACTTTTGTGGGATCAATTCCAAATGACACTAAGTGCTTCTTATTACAGAGAATTTTCTCAAACAAAATGGACCCTTAGGAGAAGAGAACAGCCCATACCACATTGAAAATTGTTCTCCAGGTAGTTATGATGTGGGCGAATATACATGGAAATTTAAAACAATGTCCAGTGAAATATTCTATGAGAATGTTGCTTTTGAAAACAAGTAAACTACAGGAATGACATAGATTAAATAACTTGAAATTTTGATTAATCAAATATTAATAACAACTTAATATTAATTAAGTATATTCTGTGCGCCCAGGACTAAGAGCATAACCTGAGAGCAACTCTAGGAAATAGGCATTATTATTCCATTATACCAGGAAGTGTACACAGAAGAATAGACTGAACACAAAGCACTCAAGGCTCAAACATAGTTCATTAGTGATGAGTTCTTTATCTTCAGATTTGAGTAAAAGAATTTGAACAGAAGATGAATAAGAAATAATTTTTTATTCTTCGCTTTTTTTTGTTGGATCAAAATATTACTCTATATGATAGAGGAACAGTGAGAATAACTCCTAATCTGTAGCAATACACAATACAGTGTATGCTGTTTTTCAGCAATGTAATTGGAGCAGCTATTATGCTCTTAGTATTTAATAATGTGATCATACCACCAATATTTAAAATTCCATATTCAAACCTAGATCTGGTCCTCATGAGTGTTAGGAAGGATCCAACCATCAGTTGGGGCCCTGGGATGACAGCAGGTGTCTGCGAGGATGTCCTTGACCAGAATGGGAAAATCTAACTGAAAACCTTAACAACTTCATGACAACTATGCTGCTTAACCAAAAGCAGAGATAATTTCAAAAAGTATTTGATTTTCCTAACAGATATTACTGCAGAACAGAGTGAAGTTAAGGCTGTCAAACTACTTGGTCAGCACTCCGCACTGATCACCTCTCCTGCAGTGAACCCTACAGGAGGACATGTCTTTTTATGTCCTACAGCTAAAGTATTTGCTTTGCATGCAGTAGGGGCCGCAAAATGTTTGTGGACAGGAATGCAATGTACTCGAGGGAAACATCTTCCAGTGCGTAAGAGTTTCAGGTGCAACACTTACAGTCTTCTCCAGAGTAGAGAACCACTGATTGAGGCTCAGGCCCAGAGCCAAGCTGATTGATGGCTTGCACTTGGACATCATAAGGAGCATAGACACTGGGCGTCATAACCCGCAAGCTGTGGTTTGTAACCGTTTCCTCTTCCCACTCCACTGGGGCTCCTTGTGGCTTCCAGCTCACTCTGTACTCCAGCCCTGGCCCATTCTGTTCCATGGGTTTCAAAGGCTAAAACAGAAGCCAGACCATAAACATGCTGACAAAGACACAGCAGGGAGGGGCGCTCAGCGGCAAAAGCGCCTGCCTGGCAAGCGCAAGGTTGTGAGTTCGGTTCCCAGTAGCAGAGAAAAACAAAAAAACAAAAACAAAAAAAAAACCAAAACAAACAAAAAAAAAGACACAGCAGGGGACCACTTTAAAGTGGAAAAAACAAAACAAAAAAAAAGACACAGCAGGGGACCACTTTAAAGTGGCATGAGAATACCACAGAGATGTTAAATACCCACTTTGGGGACAGAGACAGCCGTGAAAATTTTTGTACCTCTGTAAGTTTAAGCTTGATAATTAGACCTCTACTAGTTTAGATCATGGATCATGCTCATTGGGTCAAATGAGTTTGCATATATGAAATAATATACAAATAATTTCTACAAGGGTTTTAGCTTTTGCCTAAGCTTCCCACTATATCCTGTTTTTACATTTCTGGAGAATTTGGCAGAAATGAAAAAGATACAGCCATAAATTTTTAAGTTACAAATGGGATTTCCCCATAGTTTTTCAGGCGAAATTATTCTTCTTTTATTGTTTTTTGTTTTTTTGGTTTTTGTTTTTTGGGGGGGGGGGTTTCCAGTACCGGGAATCGAACTCATAACCTCTCGCTTGCTGGGCAGGCGCTGTGCGGCTGAGCTAAATCCCCAGCCCCCAGGCAAAATTCTTTACACCTGATTTCATCCTTTTCCATCTTTTTCCCTAACAGGAGAGAGATAAAAATCAGTCTTTAATTTTTCAGAATACACATGTTTATACACTAGTATGTCAGAAGCAGTAGTTCCTTTTTATAATAGTTTCCTAGCTCCATGGCCATTGTATCGCTTTAAGGGAAAATGCTTCCCTCAACCACTTTATTTTGCTAAATAGGTTTGGTGGAGAATTTTCTAGTATAGAAAACTGGTTATTTCCATTCTAGTTTTTAATTAATAGTATTTTAATAAGAAAATATAATTTAGACTGACCACTTAATAAAAGGAACTTTGATTTAAATGACTTGTATTTTAAAATATTACTTTTTTAACATAAAATTTGATTTGTTGATTGAGTTTATTTATATCAACACTTAAAAGTTCACTTATATTAACCATAATTTCATTTGCATATGTGGGTATTTCAATAATGTCATGTAAAATGTTTTTCAAGAATTTGTACTGCAACTTCAATCAGTCTAATTCAGTAAAATAGTTATTATGGGCATTGACTGGAATTAAATCAAAAACATCATGCTGTATCAGCAAGTAACTTCATAGTCATTCCAAGGTGAATATTTAAATTACCTGAGAGAATAAAATCAAAATCAAAGAAAACTTTTTGACAATTTTTAAGGTTATTACCTATACTTGCATTTATTGGAAAGTTGGATTTTGAGCCATTTCTTAGAATGAAACAGATATGAATTCACCAGGGGCTTTCACATTTTCCAAATGAATTATTCTAAGAGCTTTTAGCTCTGTATGCAATCTGGAATTATAATTTCTTTCAGACTCTCTTGACAGCAAATATATGCAAATAAGATTACTCAATTCACGGGTTTTTCTCCAAGGAAAATAGGTAAACCTAGTAAAGTTCCCTGAGGAATTTGAAAATAAAGTGTACCACTGTTATGAGAACTCTTTTAGCTATATTGTGAGTCCTTATTTGGTAACTAGGCTCCTGAAGAAACAGCAGAGACACTTTTTATTTGGCTCTGAGGCAATGGCTAACAGAACCTCCACAATTCTCAAATAAGCTCTGTAACAAAGACAGAACAACATAAGATCAAAGGTAAAGCAGGCAGTAAAGCACAGGAAGGCCGCACAAGCCTTCTCTTCCTCTCATAGTATACCATGAGGAAGAAGTCTTTACAGATGATGTTGTTTATTAAAGGAGTCTAGAAATCTCTAGATAGGAGTATATGGATGACCTTCAAAGGATCTGAGAAGTCCATGACGTTGTTAGGAAGGAGTCTTTACTTCTAACATATTTTCAAAGAGAACTATGAATTAGATAAGGTTATAACTACCAATCTAGGAACTAGACAAATTGCCACCCTACCTCAAATCCATTTTGTAAAAAGTAATTGAACACTTTTTTTATTAACTGACAAATACAAAGTATATATGTGTGTATATGTATATGTATTAAGTACAGCATCTTTGAAATATGTATACATGTCATAATAACCTTCCTCACACATGTACCATTTTGTTGTGGACAAAAGAATTTAAATTATTCCCATAACAAGTGTCTAAAATATAATACAGTCTTATAACAGCAGTTACCATGTTACATGTTATTCCATTAAATTTCATTTAATTCTATTTCATAGCAGATAGATTTTCTTTTCATATTCTCAAAATAAACAATAAGACTATGTTATGAAGAGTTTAAGAACTTGGCTAGCATCATTTAGACAGGTAACTGAACCCAAAATACTGTGAAATTTGGGTTCGTTTTGTTTTTTTGACTTGCTTGTTTTTTGATGGGTATTTTTCTAGTTGTCTTTAAAATTAGATTGTTATTTTATAGAAAGGTGTTTAAAAATTCATTTCAATAGTTTTAAGAAAAATGGGAACTATCAAGCAAAAAACATCCAAATGGGAATATTTTAGCTATCTCTCTAGGCATCCATGGACTCTTTTTTCTGTTTTGAGAGATGGGTCATTATCATATTTTAATACTTAGATGTTTGAGAAATCATGACCTATTTAATACATGGAGTGAAATTTAGAAGATAATGAAAACTAAACACCTGCTTTTATCATTAAGTTAAAATTTAAGGCATTAGTTTAATTTATTGTATTTAATGCTAAAACAGATATTGGAAACATTTAATCTTTCCCTAGTGCTCATCTTTGTTGTTAACCCTTGTATCAAAGGTCAACTTTTTCACACAAACCTTGTATCTCTAATCATTGTCATGTAGACAGGAGTAATTGTGTGAACAGCACCTGGAGGGGATGTGGGATTTTATTCACAGTGCCTCCTTGTCCACTTGGGAAATAGCTAACATCCAACCCTTAATAAAGGAATGCTCCATTCAAAGCAATAATCAGTAAATGTCCTTAAACTTCATTCTCTGAGCTGGTAGTTATTAGATCTCTGACACGTCAAAATCACAACAGGCAGGATGGCATATATTATGACTGTAACTGTCAATCTAGTTCCACATTCCTAAGACTGTCTATTTCTCAAGTCAATTAATTACTAAGTTACATGGCATTGGTTCTTCAGAGGCAAATTACAAACAATTTCTGTGGTAGTCTCATTCTTATTAGAAGTGTGCATTAGTTATCAGTCATTTGGGGAGAAAAGTGTGAGTTATAAGCAAGAGAAGACATAAGGACCTTGGGAATAAGGAAGATTTCTGCCCTCTGCTCTCTGCTGACTTAGGGCATGGGCTCTGGCGAGGGCAGTGAACTACAAAGTCCCAGCCTGTCTGTATGAAGCGTGTGACTGACCATGGGCTCCCATCAAACTCCCAGGGCAGTGAAGAGAAATCGTAGGTTAATGTTAGTGAAACACAGTGTGACTCTCTGCAGAAGTGACCCAAAACTTACATAGAACCATTGTCATCTCACCAGTTATACCACTATATTATGGAATTTAAAGGAGGGTAAGGCAGATATGCTCTATAACAATAAAAAATTAACATACTTTCAGATTGTAAATAGTTCTAAAAACATATGTCTGTCACTATTTCTTGCTACAAAATCAAAGAAATGTTTTTTATTTTAATCAACACTATCCTTTTACATTTAACTTTAAATATAAAAATATTTAAAGTTTAATATAAAAATATAGACTACATAATTGATAGGGATGTACTGATATGCATGTCATGATGATAAAAAATATAACATGTGAAGGAAAAAATAAGCCCAAATTTATATATTTTAAAATTCTTCCAAGTACCAGAACTTGAATGATGAAACTAACCTCGTATACTCCAGGATTATTACAAAATAGCCTATATCTATGCAAGATTCAATTAACTCAGTACTAGATGCCTACTATTAATCAAAGAATTGAATGGTAATTTACATTAACTTATATCAACATACTTGCTCATAAAATATGGCTAAATTTTAAAAGAAAAATGAAGTTTTCCATTGTTACAGAAAAACAAACTTGGAAATAACACTATAGTAATTAAAATTATCCCAATAGACATAAATTTTTCATCAAATTCAAAGAGTAAAATCTATGTAATAGCATTTAACAGGAATATGTACAAGAGGGAAAGTACCACTTGAGGTTTGTTACACCTTGTATCTAGATGTTCCTCCAAAGCCTCATGAGTTGTATAGGTGGTGTTTTTCAGAAGTATCTGGATCTAGTGCTCGAACAAATATTAAGGGTGTGGGAATATGGATTCAGGGTATGGTAATAAATAGTTCACTGAAGGGTTTAGCGCAGTTCTGTGTGTGGATAACGAGAAGACTTACATGGGTGTGGGTGGCACCACCCAAAAGGCCTGTAGACTGGAAGGGATAATAAAGACAGGGACTCCTGCTTTGCTGCTTTCATCCTACCCTGCCATGGACTGTTTCTCCCCTGCGATGTCCCTCTACCATACCGCCCTGCCTTGGAGCACACTGACTATGAACTGAAACCACTACAAACTGTCAGCTAAAATAAACCTCTCCTCTTTTAACTTGTAAGTGTTGGATAGTTTGGTCAGGCAACAAGAAAGTAACTAAGACAAAGTCCAAATACATTCATGTTTAAATCCTGCTAATTTCTAGCTTTCTAGGGATAAGGGAGACATACATCATCTTGGACTTCAGTTTCCACGTTGAGAACAGTGTATTAATGATATGTTCTTGACAAGGTTATTCTCAGATTTAGAAACAAATGAGCAAAATGCCTACAGAGTTAAATAAATTATTATTATTTGGAGGTTATCCTTTTGCATAATCAGGTAGGGAAATCAGGTAGGGAAAGGTTTTTAGTGTTTGAGTAGGAGAACATTTAAAATATTGTTAATAAAATGGTTGAGATTTTGAAATGTTTAGGGACAAATGTTAAATAAATTGGGCAGTACAATCTTCCCTAAATTATTTACTAATGTTAAACTCAAATTCACAACTTATTCTAATCACAATCACCTTTAAAATATACAATTGTGACAACTTCCAAATTAACTTCACCCCTAAATCCCACTAATTTGTGTTTTTAAATTAATGTTCTTACCATTGTATTTGACAGGTACAATCAAAAGGAAGGAAAAAGAGCACAAAAAATATATATAACATGGGCCAGGAAGATGGCTCACCAGCACAGTGCCTGCCTGGCAAGCGCAAGGTCCTGAGTTCTATTCCCAGTATCAAAAACAAACAAACAAACAAACAAAAAACAGAATACACTGAGGAATACGCACCTCCCATTTTATAATCATTTCCTTGGGTTGAGAAGCTTGGACCCTTATGTTTTGTGGATTCTTGTCTGGAGCTGAAAAATGATGTGTTAAAATTATTTTTATCATTGTCAACAGGGAAATCATCATATCACTCTGCCCAAATCCCAGATATTTAAATAAATTTTATATTTACTAATTTAAAATGTTACAATTACTAAAAGATATTTAAGGTGGCTTCTAAACACACATGTAATTTACAGCAATAAAGTAATATTTTAGAATTATATAATTATTTCCTACTGGGTAGTAATTAGTCTCTCTTTCATATGTATATGTATATATATGTGTATATATATATATATACATATATATATATCAAACTTGCTACCTAAATTTTTAAACCTGATTTTTAAAAGTGTGTTTTCATTTTAAAGCTGTAATTTCTTGGTTAGAATTCTGCTGAGAAAAATACATACTAGGATGTGATGGAGGATAAAATTGAACCCATGTATTAACATCTACAGTCAAGTTTTAGGTACACCAAATAGAAAACAGCATGTAACCATGAAATATATTCAGATTGACCCATTGTATTAGTAAGAGCTAAGCAGGGAGTTTAGCGCTCTTTGATGTACATTAAAATTATACAAGTATCTAAATCAGTTTATTTTTTTCCTCATTCTATAAAATAGTTTATATTCTAACCTATTAGTTTCATAAAGGAAACAACAAATATCAAGTCATAACTAAACGGACACCTAAAGTCAGTGCAGTGACACCAATTCTTTTAGCACTATAATATTTGAGATTTTAAAAAGCAGGCAATTTAGATAGATATGAAGCTAGAAAAATACTAAATTCATAAGAATTAAAAATTGAATTAAAAGTTTTACCTCAGAAAACTGAACCATTGACTTTCACTGTATTTTGAACATCAGTATCGAATTTACTATTTGATATTTGATTTAAACATCATGCCCAGCTATTGGAAAATGTTCATAGTAATGTTTTCTCAAATCCCAACTCTCTCTTCCAATTTTCTGCTTTTTATCAAACAAGTAACTAATACCTATGAACCTGGTGCAGTCTGAGTACTGTATTTATTTCTAACAGAATTGCTCATACTAGAGAAATCTAAAATCAGAAGCTAACTGATCTTTTTTTAAAACTTGTTCAAAATAAAATAGCTTTCCGGGAGCCTGGAGTAGGAAGCTGTGTACCTGCTGGTGGTGTTTCATGGTGGTCCGAGGGCTGGCTAGGGTGGCTCTGCCCTACTTCGTTCACAGCTGTGACCCGGAACTGGTATCTCACATAAGGAGCTAACCCCAACAAGACTGTTGTCTCCTTTCCTTGGACTCTAGTCAGTTCCTCCCACTTTCCAGGTTCTTCTCTATTTCCTTCAAATTCTACAATATACTCTGACAGGAAAACCAGAGACAAACCATTAGGACAGAACGAGAATGCTTAAATTATACTAGGATTTATATACAATATTGAATGTTTAAAAGGATATTTGAAGAACAAATCTACGCAGTAGTTAAGAATAATTATCAAATCAACTTTAATTCTGTTGGGTAAAGAAAACAGTTACTCCAAGTCTTCCTACCACTAATATTGCTATTGTGGTCATCTCCAGCTTTCCAGGACAGCCGAACACTCCTGTTCTGTCTTTCAGACAAGTGAAGGTTTTCTGGTGGATCTGGAACATCTAATTGATAAAGGTAAAGATAAGAAAAATGCGGATCATTGCCTTAGTTTCTCGGATTCCTTCACTCAGGCACATTGCCCATCCTCGCTGGCCAGTCTCCACTCTGACTTTTTCACATCTCATTGGTCCCTCAGCTACAATTTCAAGTGCCACAGCCCTCAGATCCATACCACAGTTGGCCATAACATTTCCCTTTTCTCCGATAAGTTTTTAAGGGCTATTTTTGACTCTGCTGTGGATCAGAATTCTTTTAAGAATAATTTTTAAGAATGACATTTCCTGCACCCTGTCTCTGGTTTACCTACAAAACTGAGCCTAAAACTCTCCGTTTGTAAACATGTTCCCTGTCGATAATTATGCAGCATCAAGTTTTGGAAATGTGTTTCAAATGGATCATCTGCTTTCCTTCAATTTATAATCACTTCTATACATGATGATTCTTTGTATGGTCAAAAAAATCTTCAAGATCAGGCATTGTTCATGGTGCCTTGTACATAAATTGTTTGTGAATAAATATGTGAAAAATATAGTGTCACTTCTACTGTGAATACAATTATATAAAAGCAACAAAAATTAGGTCCTGTGGTTATAGAAAAATAAGATAGGAAACAAGACTGCCCTTTTTATGCAAGCACTTTGGGCTTTTGTTCTAATTTGTAACATATAATAGCAGCTTTCATGCTGCTTAGCCTGGAGTCTGAAACAAGGAGGAAGGCAGTTTGCACAGGAAGGGGGCGCTCTGGCACTGTTCATTGCTGTGACGCAAAGCCGAAAATTGAGTAGGAGATGCCAAGTCCCTTAGCATTAGAATACATGGAAATTTCCAGCATTTCTAAAATAAAAGCAGGAGTAAAATGAAACACAATCTCGAGTGATCATTACTTCCAAAATTTGCTGTTAATTTTCTCAAGCACTTGGGGACAAGAAAGGAGCTATCAAGCGTGGCCTTTCCGTGGGCTCTTTTCTGCCCCAAGGGAAAGAAACATCTACTGCCCCTGTTGAATATTTGCCAGCTGTTGAAGATTCCAACTGATGAAAAACACCATCTCCAGTTCCGAATAGACTATGCTTATGTCTAATATGTGGCCCACCATGACTGTGTTGAAATGTCAGGGCCCTTAAGAAGAAAGCATTCATATAAAAACTTTTGAATCTCTGAGCTCAGAGAACTTAAGAATTTTATTTTCATCATTTATCAAAAGTTCACAGAGTTCTGAAATTTATAGAAGAACATAAGCCAGCATGTTCCATCTCAGATTAAAACCCAATCCTCTGTGATTCATACAGCGCCAGAACTGAGAAACCCGTACCTAAAAATTGCTCATTCTTATGTGAAGGCCTATGGAAAAAATTTCTGATCAAAGTAGGTTGAGCCTGTGCTTTGAAAAAATATTTTCTTGCACAAAAGTCTTTTATAAACTATAATAGTCTGTGAAGTGTGGTGGCACACGCCTGTAATCCCAGCACTTAGGAGGCTGTGGCAGGAGGATGACCATGCGTTTGAGGACAGCCTGGGCTACATAGTGAGACTCTGTCTCAATAAACAAAAATAAATTAATATTTTTTTTAAAAAACTCTGTGTCCAGAATCATTTATTATTGTGAGTTGTTGAAATGTGACTTTTTAAACTAGACATGGATTAAAAGAATTGGAGTGTAAATTCAAGGTTGAGGTTTTTAAAATGCATCTTACTTTATAAATATTCTCCAAAACATATTTTGAACCGAAGCTTATTGGCACACACCTGAAATCCCAACACACTGAGGCTGAGGCAAGGATCTCAAGCTCTTGAACAGGGTTATTGAGCTACTGAATGACTAGCAGACACCTCCTCTCAAAATAAAAAAAAAATTTTTAAAAAGTTTGTTTATTTATATCTTTTTGAGACAGGGTTTCATTATGCACTTCATGCTGGCCTTGAGCTCACTTTGTAGCCCAGGCTGGTCTCAAACTCATGAGGAGCCTCTTGCCTCAGCCTCCTAAGTGCTGGGATTATAGGTGTGCGCCACTATGCCTAGCTGAAATTTAAAAAGTGATGGGGAGATAGTTCAGTGCAGAGGTCCTGAGTTCAGTTCCCAGTGTTACAGAAAAACTACTATTCTAAAATGTTTGGTAGATTACACACACATAGAATATATGATCACACCACTATTTATTTGAAATTATCAAAATTTAATGGTTATAGAAAACAGAAGGTTAATCCTAAGAATGCAATTTAAATTTTGAAGAAATCTGAGAAGGTGAGGACCCAATCCTCTTGTTGCTGCTATTATTTGAAACACGTGGTAGCAAAGTCTGTGGATCCAGTGTATACCCTTTTCTTATGATGCTTAAAGTAACTTCCAGTTTAATTGATGTACAGCTATTTTATCTGGTGAATTACTGCTGGAATAGTCACTTAAATATTAAATTTTTCTGCTATACAGTCCCGAAGAGACTTGCATATGCCATGCCTAAAGATATTCTTACTAAGTCGAGCTTGTATGTTTGATTTTCTTTTTCTAGTAGAACACACCCTGGTTGCCACTGGCTTAACTTGAAGAGATACAACTTATTGACACATTTTTCATAACCTAACTTGGAAGAGACTCAATTTTTCCCTCTCAGTCAGCAACTCCTTTAGTAATTATCTGTGGACTCCAGCATGGAGGGAGCAAAAGATGCAAAGTCTTATTCATTACAACTAATGTAGCTATTTGTTCTAATGGATTGTGCATGCTTCTGTCTGGTGGTCTGAGCAACTGATTTGAAGGTAACAATATACAATGAAATTACAATGGGGAACTCCTACCATCTTGTCTAGAGAAACTCTATATTATCTCTGCTGTTTTATTGAAGAATTGTTTTCTTATTCCCTATAATGGTTAGAGCAATCTTCCATTCTTACATCTGGTAATCTGAGCAATGTAGATAGCAATATGCAATGTAACAACCACTGTTGATTCGCATTATTTTGTCTTGAGACTCTGTATCCCTTTGAATGTTCTTGCTTTGATTTATATTTGTGGTACTGGTATGCTGCTATTTCTTGTTTGTTTGTTTCTCATTTACTACTCTCTTCAAAATAAAAAATAGAAAAGAACAGAGGAGTAACCAAAAGCAAGTGTGTTCAAGAAATATCATCAAACTAAAAGGAACACCAAGTGATTCCATCTGACCCAGAACAAATGGAAACTGTAATGATGTCTGCAGCCGTCAGAGACCCAGAAAGAAACTCATGCATGGTACAGTATTTCAATAGTTTTTAATAAGGACTCCTGAAACCATGGTGTTGGCTGTAGGGGTCACTTGAAGTACTTGTAATGGGGAGAAGTTACCAGAATCTCTTCTGGGGGAGCTGTGATTTCAGCAATTGGACATAGCTAGCCTGGAAGGGAGGGAAGGAGGAGAAGGAGGGATGGAGGAAAGAAGAAGGATGAGAGAGAGGGTAATGAACATCCCCAGTCTCCCCCATTCCCAAGGCTCCCCATGGGCCACACCAAATGAAAGCTAGAGGGCAAGTGGTTTGCTGATGCTGTCTTACAGGACAGCTTTCCAGGTCAAAGCTGGCGGAGTGAATCTAGATAGGAAATTGGGAAACATCCAGCAGATGGTGTAAGAGCTGTTAATGTTAGTGATTTCAGGGGTAATTGCATTGATTACTCTAGTGAAATAGGCAGTTTTCTAATTAGCTTTATAACACACACAAAACAAACAAACAAAACAAACAAAGGAATTCCTCTGTAGAATGCCTGAAGCTCCTCCCTACCTTTCACGCACCTCTGGAGCCTGAGCCCATAGCCTGCTGGAGAGCGTGACCACTGTGTATCCATCACTGGAATCCCTCATGCAATCCACTCTACCCCTTTCCTCTCCTCATCCCTACCTCTCTGCACACCCACAAAGGCTAGCTCAACAGCCCTAGAACTCAAGCTACTCAAGTAATGAGTAGCTTAATTTTTTTTCTGAAAGCATCACTTACCTCCTACTGCTATTGGCAAACTTACCCATGTAAGGAAAAGAATTAAGCATGAATTAACTTATTTTATATAAGAAGAAGAGAAAGCATTTGAAAGTGGGGTCTATTTTTAAACAAAAAATTCACACTACCAGTATAGAAGTAAGGGCTCCAATAATTGTTGGCTTCATCACCCTGCAGCAACCGAATTTAATCCGCAATGGAAAAGACATGAACAGAGATTTTTCTTGAATTAGGAATGAAGCTGTACTATGTACAAGTACAAACTCCCTATGGTGAATGTGGTCATGCTACACATCAAAAGTGTGCCAATTAAATTCATTTTAAAAAATTTTTCCAAAAACAACAACAAAAAGGAACTTACCGAGGACAGTTACTTGAGTTACATCAGCAACGCCATCAAGTGCAGTCTGCGCCAAGCAGGAGTAAATGCCTTGATCCTCTAAGGTCACATTAGAAATGGTCAGATTGGCTCCATCGATAACTATCCTGTCAGGAACAAAGGAACATGAAGAGCATAGAAGCAGCCGGAGCAGCCTTTTCAAACATGTAGATCTCTCGTGGAAAAAATGCAAGGAGGAGTCACACAGAAACTTCACAGAACAAATTTTATTTAGGAACGCTCCGGTGGAGAAATGGAGGCATTATTCAAGCATATACCAACGTCTACATAGCCATAAATGGGATCACACTGTAAAACATGTAATCAAACTCTCTATGATACGGAGGTCAAAGTGGAACTATGTGTTGCCTGTCATGTCTAAGAAGTATAGTAACTAAGACATATTTGAATAATTTTCAGTTATCAGTGCGAAACCCTGCGTAGGATCAATTGCAATGCTTCTTGGAAAAGTAGGTTCTTGAATCCCACCCCAGCTCCACGGAAGCAAAATATCTGCAAAGAATCTGATCATCTCTTACTTCGGGCACAACTTTCCTTTTTCTCTGTCTCCATCCCTAACCAGAATTACGTGATTCATTCCAACAGTAGGTGGCAGTATAGCACTTCTTCAGCAAATCATTTCAACTGGATTTTTTTTTTTTTTTTAATCATTTATTTTATTTTTGCCAATTTGGAACTGCGTTTACTACACGAAAATTACTTCTTTATAAATTATATTTTTCATACTCTATCCGTGTATTATCAACATAGCTGTTCACATAATTTTTAAAGTAAAATTCCATTAAACTTGAAATATTTTCACAGCAGTGGCTATTTTCTTGAAATACTGTAAATAGCGTGATCCTTACAGGAAGGAAGGCAGATTGTCTCTTAAATATATTTTTAATGTAAAACTCACATCTGAGAGGTTTGAAGTATAGAAAATTGCTTCAAAGTATAGTGGAATCAAACATTGTCTTAGTTCGTGATTTCTTAGAAAACATAACCTCATTATTACTGCTTCATAGTCTTTTATTCTCCTTTCTCTTCCCTTTCATATTCTCTTTCTTTTTATTTGCTGCTGTTTCTGAAGGGAGAAAGTCAATTCTTCCTCGGTGCTGAGGACAGAGCCCTCACAGTTATTTGCCACAAACATTTTCCTCCCATGCTCTCCTAGATGCGGCTGCAGGGCCCCTCCCAGCCCTCGGCATGCCTGCGGAGCTGGGTCCTTCATTCTGCCTATGGTCGGGAACGTTCTCCAGCGCCTTTATTAAGCATGGTATAAGTTAAGACGTATTTCATATCCGTGCTCTCCATTTTAGTTTTCATAACAAGAGTATGGTTTATAGCCGGCTGTTTAGAAATCCACAAGTTCCTTGGGTTCATCCAGCCAAGCTGACAGGGCTGATGTGAGGCTTAAGGAGGAAGTATACATGGGAAGCACTAACGGCACAGGAGGCACTGCATGGACGTAACAGTCCAGAGAGGAAACTCCCAGCGTCTACCATAACCCCGCACATATGGAAGGCGACAGGGGGAAAGGGAAGGAAGATTTCTCACTTCTCATTATTTTCTGTGTACCTTCGACACGGAATTTAATCTCTTACTCAGCAAAACTTTCTGGTTCCCTTCCTAGGAATAAGGAGATGGCGCCTTCTCGGAAGATGGGGAGCAGGACTTACTGATGGTTCCCTAGAAATGCAGCAGACATCTGCGACCGCAAGTTCAGAGCTATTCCTGGCAGCAGTGAAAACCAGACATCTGCAGTCACTCCGCGCTCTCCTCACGCCTGAGGCCTTAAAGGCCACTGTCGCTCACCCTCAGCGCTTGTTACGGGCAGCTGGAGGAACACCTGAGTGACTCACTCAGTCCTCGCAGAGAACCGGAAGTGCACTTTAGAGACAACCTCGGCATCCTAGAGAGACTGAGAAAGTGGCTCAAGCTGCTGAGGTCAGAGCCAAAATGCGCATGCCCCAGAGGCAACAAGCCCAGGGCCTCTGGTGCTTTTCTAGGTGATAGCCCAGAGATCACGTGGAAGACCTCAGGTAAACCGGTAATAGTCACAGAAAAAGAGAATTTAGGTAAATCTCAGTAGTTGACAGAGCATCTGAGAACTAACCTGAGCAGAATCTCAGGATGAGCCTGGGCTATAGCTCAGTGGCACAGGCGCCTGCCTGGCAAGCGCAAGGTCCTGAGTTTGATTCCCGGTACCGAAAAAAAAAAAAAAAAAAAATCTAAGGATGAAGATCTCTGACGCAAAATACAGATGTGCATAATTAACCCCTCTTGTTTGAATATTGTTGCAATACATAGACTGGCTTTGCACAAACTTTTACATATACAGAAAGCATAGGAGGGGATAAACTAGTTTCAAAGCTGAGACTAGTGCTTTTAGCTAGTGATGGTGCACTAGCATGCTCACAGTTGTACACATGAATACCAGTAGCAGCAGATGCCAGGCAAGCAGCAAAGATGAGAAAAGCAGATGGGAAAGTGATAGTGGTAGTAAAAACAATAGTAATGAAAAAGGAGTGTGTATTTAGTATTTTCTAAGTGCTTAGTATATTAATGTACAATACCCTAATGATGAAGTCATCTAATATTTTTCATCAAAATATGTCACTGAGCATAAAATGGACACATAGCCACATTAAGCAGATTGACGGCACAGGCGCAAATACTAACAGAGCTGGGATTTGAGCCCAGGCCACTGAGTCCAGGTACAGGCTTTTAATCAGGGCTCTGCTGTGGGCTCGTCTAAGGAGCGCACATCTCGTCTAGACTTTCAGATATACATTTTCAGAGTAATGAGTAGCAAAGCTTAACCTGAGATGAGAGTTGATTAGAAGATGGTAAAATTTTAACCCTTACTTAGTAATAAAGCAACATAATAAGGAAGCAAAGCTGACTTCCAGAGGTTTTCAGAGACAGAACAGGCACTCTGATTGTTTTGATTCTTTTCTCTCTTTGATGTGCTTGATGTTGTCTAGTACTATTGTGCATCTATTCCATTTTTTCTTTATTTTATCTTCTGTCTTTTTCTATATTCTTTATGTAGACATTAGAAAACCCAAAAATATCCACGTGATCCTCTAAATCTATCAGCTTTGCATTCCTGGATTCAACAAGGATGGAAAATAACCTAAAAAATTTGAGTCTATACTGAACATGTACACACATTTCCCTTGTGATTATGCCCTATAAGACACTGCATAATGCTTATTTTATAGCATTAACATACTAAGTATGATGAGCAGCATAGAGATGATTTGAAGTGTACAGGAGGACATGCATAGCTTACAGATAAATACAACACATTTTGAATCAGGAACTTGTGCATCCATGGATTTTGGGATCTCAGGGAGGGGAAGCTCGAACCAGACCACCACAGATATGAAGTGAGGGCTGTACTTATCAATAGTTTCTAGAAGGAAAGATTCCAGATACTACTGAAGTTCTGCCACAGGGGGCGCTCATGTGAGCCTGGAAGTAGAAGCAAAATGGGAATCACGTTCCCTAGGGTAATGGGGGCCGAGTGGCTCTGGGAGACACAAGAGAGGGCAGTGACTGGACCCACCAGTATCACTAATGGGGAGAGCTGGCTGTGAGAACATCAGGCGTTTTCAGAGACCTACATCACAGATGCAGTGCCATGTGATTAAGAACCCCACAGATTTCTAAGCAGCACCCCTTAGGCCAAGCTCCTCCAGTCTTTCCCAGACTTTTGTAAACACTTAATCCCACGCAATACATCTGCCTCAGTTACCTGGAATGGCTTCTGCTTCATGAACTAAAAAGATGATACATGTGGTATGAAAATTCAGTAGCAAAAGCAAGAAGAAAAATACGAGACAGAAGAGTGAATCACTGCATGACCTTTTAAAAACTGACGTGAACACTGAAATGTAATAATCAGTTTTGGTGTTTCATCCAGTGTGAAGACTTTTAGCACCAACTTTTTAAACATAATGCTTTAAACTCGAGGTCAGATGAGAATCTACCATGATACTCTACTTACCTGCCGTCCTCGGTACCATTAATTTCAAAGTCCTCTCCATCTTTACTCCAGGACAGCTTCAGGCCATGTTTCAAATGTGAGTCACATTTGCTCTCACAATATAGCTCGAGCACGTGTGATTTGGGAACCCGAGGATTCTTAGGAGAAACTCTAAGTTTTGTAGCATCTGTTTTCATCAAACAGAGACATTAGTTAGGGATGTAGAGCACAGCTTACTTCATTACCAAGTGTCTGCAATTTAGGGAACCTAAATTATTAACATTATACTCAAATCGTCACTTAAGACTTGTTCCTGTGTAATTTCCTAACATCACACAGCGTTACAATTCTCTTTCTATGGAGACCTGGGCATCTGACAAAATTTGTAAACAAGTGCCAATTAATAGTTTGGTCATTTCTCTTAGAAATTCTTGTGCAAAGAGTGTAACCAAAGTATGAGGAAATGCCTCTAGAAGTTGAAAATAATATATTTCCTTCTTTTAGTGCTTCTGAGTATGTAATTAAAACCTTGTAATGAAAAAGAGAAAGTTATTTGATTCTTTATCAGTCTGTTTGCTATTAATTGAAAACCCAAGGTTAAACACTGAAACACAGGCACAAAAGAACTCTCCACATGGAAGGAAGCTTATTTACATTAGACACTCAATACATATCTGAATTTCTTGTTGAATGAGTTATAGTGAATGAGACCTATAGTTCATATAGATAAATTAGTAGTATCAGCAATATGAAGCACAAAAATTGCTATTAAGGCTAGTACCTTCAAAAAATATCAACTTCATGATGATTGCTTCAAAGTATCCTATCTTTACTCATTAATATTACTGTTTAATTACTTTTTTTTAATAGAACTGGGGATTGAACTCAATACTTTTTCACTGAGCTACATCCCCCGCTCTTTCTACCATTTTAATTTTGAGACATGGTCTTGCTACATTTCTAAATCAGCAAGTTACCCAGGTTGGGCTTGCGATCTCAGCCTCCCAGAATTCTGGAATTACTGCCATGTGCCACCACACCCAGCTTTTAATAACGTATTAAAGCTAAGTACACCTTTATTTTGTTATCTGAGACCTGGGGAGGTTCTTAGATGCAAAATCGTAAAGAGCTGACCTCCAGTTCCAAAACTGCATCTAATACCAAAATTCTCTCAAGGAAATAATTAAAACTGAAAGTGTGAAGAAATTGTTTACTTGTTATCTCAGGTATAAAGTTTGAAGACACTGCTAAATTGAATTAACATTAAATGTATGTATTACTAAAAATTCTACTGCTAATTTTCAATTTAAAATAAATCAATTTCATAGTAATAGAAACTATTTAATAAGTGGCACAGGAATCTTTTTAAATGTTCCTGGCCATCCAACACCTAGCTCCTTCTTACAGTTATTTGAAGTCATGTACACATCGGGCTCTGTAATGCTCACAGCAGTCTTTCAGAAGAAAAGCAATCTATGACTTTTGAGAAAGGATCTAAAGAACCTTAGCAGGAGCTCAAACTTAAATCAGACTCTTTCATTTGAGGAAAAGAAGAGAGACTGAACCCAGGCAAAATAAAAATGAAATAAAAGTACTTCTAATATCCAAATTGGCGATGACTGCAGTTTTTCCAATAGCATTTTCTACCCAACAAGAGTATGACCCTGCATCTTCTTCAGTGGTTCCAATGATCTGTAGTGTACCATTTTCATGGATACGGTACCGCCTGCCTTCAAGGGGTTGTGCTTCATCCATTCTCTGCCTATGGGGAAATAAAGCATAGATCAGTTTGGAGCGAGGCTGGTTTGGAAACTCTTTTGTTACTCATCACTGATATCATTTAGACTCTTCCCTCCTTCAGGAGCTTAGTAAAACTTTTAAAATCTTCTACTGAGTTTACAATTCCTCAGATATGGTTACAGATGTGTATCTTATCTGCTCAAATGGATTGCAGGTCAAAGCAATCCAGTCTCTGCTCTGCATTTCAGACGTCTTCCTCATCGCTATCAGCACCATTCTCTATGTGTCCTCAGAGAGTAATAAATTTTTTTGCCTTACTGATGGTGAACTGTTTTAGTTAATGATTGCTCCACAGTGTTAAATGGGAAAGCTAGTAATTGAAAGAGATAATACACCTCCCTCCTGTTTTGGGAGAACATTGGCCATTCAGAAATATTATAAACCAGGATGTCTTACTTCTTCTGTGGATATAGATTATATTTATTCTATCAACCCTAAAGTCATTTTCTCCTATACTTATCTATTTTCCTAGCATTTCTTGCCACCCCTTGATTCACCCTGTACATTTCACAGTAAGTGAGTGCTCTAACTCCAAATTGGAAAGGAAAAACTGTGGCTGCTGCTCAAAGGATTTCACAAGGTGAGGTCTACACTGAAGTGAAGGAGAGGCTTTCCTCCAAAGTGAAATTTTAAACAGTGTCAACATTTGAATAAGCAATATCAATAATAATATCCCAGATTTATTTTCCAATACTGGAAATTGAACTCAGTTCCTTCCTATTGAGCTACAGCCCCAGCCCTTTAACATTTTTGTTTTGAGTCTTCTTAGTTTGCCGAGGCTAGGCTCAGAACTTGTGATCCTCTTGCTTCAGTCCCCAGAGTACTGAGATTATAGACATGTACTAACATACCTCGATTCCTGGAAGCTTTTTAAAATTAAAAATGCAAAACTTAACATGCTCAACAAAATGTCACAACTTTAATTTTAGGTATAGACAAGATCTGGGTCTGTACTTTCATGACCTGGTCTCTTTTCACACCACACCAGGTCCTGCAGAACAATGGCACAATTACCCAATAGCAGTGTAACCAACCTTTTGCAGTAAAGTAACCAATACGGCAGATTCATTAGATAATGTGTTTAGACTAAGGATGACAATTAAAATATTGAAATGAATATAGTTAACATTTCAACATCTGTATTTGGAATTAAATGCAGGCCTCAGTAATGACAACAGTAAAGTAATATATGACCTTATATCGCCTCATAATGAAAATAAAATCTGTCTTTAAAGTTATCTAAGGAATCCTTTTAATTCTTTGCTTTTCTTTCTGAGTACAAATGAATTTCCTTAATTCCCCAAGTGAGAAAATCCTAGAAACCTAGCCAATGTTTTCAGGAGAGACAGGTTATTAAGTTTGCTTCCTTATTTCTCAGAGGCATTGGCTCCATATAACAATGTGGATACAATGCAGCCTGTCAAATGATGGATGAAGAAACAAGGGAAAAATCTACCTGAGACATCCTAAGAAAACAGCATGGCAGCTTACCAAGTCACGACCGCCTCTGGTGAAGCAAAGTATTCGCAATGTAGAAAAGCACTGTAACCAATCACTGTAGCATAATTTTCTTCATCTTTCGTTTGTATCAATGGAATAACATCTATTTGAAAATAGCAAAATACAGTTTTAAAGATTTGTCTGAAAACCAGTAACGTATTTGTCTGAAAACCAGTAAACTATAAAAATTTCTATGTCCTCGCCGTGTGGACAAAAATGGAAGACAGCCAAATACTACAGTGCAATGATTTAAAATTCAAAACGTTTCTACATGCTATACATTCCAAAGGCAAGATTACACTACAGAGTATTAAGACCACAGACAAAGTACAAGATCTTTTTATTTGTATTTTTCGCTTATGTTTTATGTGCCAAGAATTCAACTGGTGTTTGTGATCAGCTGTTACTGAACATTTTCTCTCAGAAAAGAGTAGGTTACTCTACTCCCAGGTGTACTCACCTACAACATCAATGTTGGCATTGGCCAGGATCGTTCCATGAACATTTGAGGCTTCACACTGGTACACAGCAGTGTGATTTGGGTGGATATTGGTAAAACTAATTTCACTGGGGAAGACAACATCACCTGCAAACAGATGATCTGAAAGAGATTAAAGAATGTCAGTATGATAAAGAATAGGATATAAAACATTTAAATACCATTTATTAAATGTGTCACATAGTATTCATATTTTAAAACCAGTCTAGAGTGAATAATAGTTCACTGCAGCCAATACATAGGCTTTCTTAAGATTAACTATAGTTTTCTTTTCAGATCCTTTTATATTGTCAAGATTCCTTCAAATTAACATGTATTGTCAGAATATCTGTTAACCTATAAAACATGTCATTGCTTTTTTATATCCCTACTCACCGTAAGATTCCACATTGTCCATTTGGTATTCAGATCCCACTATGGACTGCTGCTCATTTACTGTTTTGAATTTAGACCTGAATTGTATACAGCACAAAGCATATGATCAACACAAAGTGATCCTCCCTCCTACCAGCACTGGCTGCACCTTTTTCCTTTGACACCTATTTTGCTTCACTCCTTGGCCCTTCTGAAATTTTCTGAACCACATTATTCATTTAACCTGCCTTGTTTCACTATGTAAATACTATGTAAATACTTCGCATAAATTACTTATCACTTTCCACGCAAGACAAAACCCTCCTTGATACCAAAGGGCAAGTCTTCAAATTTTTGCAATTCCTGATCCTACAATGATCTTTGGAAATGAGTATATTTAATATATGTTTTATTTATTAAGGGCTAAAGAACTCTGGTGTATGTTGCCCATTTGCTGACTCTGCTCAGAATGTGGTGTATCAACATTTACATGGACATTTTAGAGGGCAGCTTTTAGAAAAGGTGAAGGATATATCCTACAGCACTTGGCAATTTTCCTGGCTGCAATCCCATGCCTTTGCTACGACTCTACAACAAAAACGATGGAAAGAAATATACATTGGCTGGGAATGTTGAGTGGGGGCAAACATGTAAACAGTTTTACTTTAAATGATGTAAGATCACCAATCTTGTTTTTTCTTACTGTGTTTCCATTGTGCAAAATAATCACTAGAGTAACTTATAGATTTTAGAAAACATGAGATGTAATATGTTAAGAGAGAAGGCTTTTCTTATACATTCTTTCTTCGTGGAGTCATCAATAAAGACATTTTGCCCTTGACTGTGAACTCCAGAGGGCAGTACCTAGTCCATGCGCTAGTGTGGAACGTATCTAGTTCTGGAGGGGCGGCTGTCACAGAGCAGGCAGTTGTTAAAATGGCTGAAAAAAATTATGTTGGTCAGCATTTTGCTCATGAAAGATCTCTGTAAGGAGGCAGAAAAACGAAGCCCCTGAAAGATGCCCAGATTCTTACCCACAGAATTTGTAAATATTTCATTTACATGTAAAAAGGAACACTGCAGAAGTGATTAAGAGTAAAAACTTTGGTATTTGAGATTGGAAAATCCTCCAGAACTACCCAGGCTGGCCCTATGTAACTATAGGGTTTCTCTTTTGTTTTGTTTTGTTTTGTTTTCCAGTACCGGGAATCGAACTCACGATTTTCCACTTCCCAGGCAGGTGATGTGCCGCCGAGCTAAATCCCCAGTCCCAAGACTATATGGTTTTTTAAAGGCAGTAAAATCTTCCCTGGCTGTGCCCACAGGGAAGTGTGACTATGGAAATAAAGGATGGACGCACACAGCAGTGCTGGCTTTCAAGATGGAGGAAGAGAGCTATGGGGCACAGAATACAACATATAGAAGCTAGAAAAGGCAAAGTAAGGGAGGGTCTCTCCTAGCATCACCAGGAAGGAACACAACACTCAATTTTAGCCCATCAAGACTTGTGCTAAACTTCTAACCTACACAATTGCAAAACAGTAAATTTGTACTATTTTAAATAGCTAAATTTCTAGCAATTTCTTAAAGCAGCATTAGAAGCCTGGTAAAATTTTGGAGACAATTTATCACCTCTTCTTGAGAATTAGCAAGATGAAGAAGTCTTCCAAGTTCTTTTGGTCTGAACACAAAGAGTGCTGCAAAACACCGAGTGTCTGATCTGCCCCCTCACCCTTGTGCTGTACTGTCAGAGGTTTTAGCCTTGCGGTTAGCCAGCCAGACCCTTTAATTTTTCTTTTTACCATCAGTCCCATAACCAGCTTTGAAACAATGCAGCATTGCAGAATTAAAAGTGAAACTATGGCCTCCTGTTTGAGATGAAAAACACTGCTCAAGTTGGCCTTCCAGGAATGGCATGAGAATTGCACAATATGCCACATACTGGCAGAAGATTATAGTTCTGGGGATTCAAATGAACCACTTTTATTTACTGTTCCCAAGCAAATTATACTAGTTATTACATAATTCAGAAATTATTTTTCAATTTTTCTTTCATCAGATTGATGGAAAATAATACAATACAGAGGTAATGATTGGATTTAAGCCTTTTCAGGGCTCCATTTCTACCTCTAACATTACTTGGATTGTATCCCCAAGTTAGTAATATAACCACTGTGAGCTTCAGTAGCTACATCTGCAAACTGCAGGATATAGAATATCTACTTTTAAACTTGCAGTACATTTCAGAAGTATTGGGTGCTGAATGTGTGAAATCGGACAGCAGTATTCATTTCGCCCTAATTTTCAAGTAAGACAGAGAGTACAGCTTTAGAATATCAATTTCTAAAACTGTAAGTTCAAAGAGATTTCACACCCTGTAGTCAGCTCGCTGTCATCACACAGCTCAACCTGTGCGTGGTTGGGATGTCTTTACCGAGGCTCTAGGAGAGAGATACTCAAGAACTGTGGAAGGAACACTGAAATTGGGATCTGAATTACATCACATCATTGACCTTCTGCTTAAAATCTTAGAAGAGTTACTCATCTACTTCCAAAAACATCCCAGTTCTCCACAGGGACTTCACCTTTACCCGAACTCTGATGCCTTCACCCATGGCTGATCTCACACCTAGTGCTGCCTTCCCTTTGTTCCCTCAGCTTTAGTCTCACCAGGCTTTTTTCTTTTCCTCACAGAGCCAAATACATCTTGGGGGAGTCTGGGTGTTAAGGTTGGTACATTGGGTCAACTTGGGGAGTCTAGAGATTTGGCTAACTGACTCAGCAGGAAGCCAGGGTGCTTACTTTGCATACATCCTGAGCCTGTGGAAGAGGAGGACATGGAAATTATGTGAGAGCTACATGCCCCTTAGGTGGGGGTAGCCTGTTTACAATGGAAGGTAGGGAAAGAAGCTGCTTGCCGCCATTCCTCCCTTTTGCTCTGGCTGCTTTTCTGTTCAGCTGCCATTCCCCCCTTTGCTCTTGTTGCTTTGCTATCTTCTGCCTCGGAGCCAGCCAAGTATGGACTGAAACCTCCACAAACTGTAAGCTAAATAAACCTCTCCTTCCTTCATTTTGGGAATTGGGTATTTCGTCTCAGCAATGAGAGAGAAGCAACTAAGACAGAATTTGGTACCAGAGAAGTGGGGTCGTTGCTGTAACTATACCTGACCATGTGGTTCAAGAGCCTTTGGAAATGGCTTGTGGGAAGAGTTTGGAAAGATTCGGAGATGTCGCCTGAAAGAGTAGAGCTAGAACACCTTCGGCTGTTTGGGAGATTCTGGTCAGAGCTCAGAAGATCAGAAAGCTGATAGAAATCCTGCTGATAAAGACCGGGTTCGGGAGGATTCTGTTGGGAAGAAGGACTTCCTTGGTTGTTGGACTCCAGACCATGTGTGTTATGGCTTAGCAGAAAGTTTGTCTGCATTTTGCTCGTATCCAGAGACGTTGCCTAAGACTGGGATTAAGGGTGGCAGCGGACTGATTAATCTGGCAAAAGAAATTTCAAGGCAGTCGAATGTTGGGGAAGTGGCATGGCTATTGTTGCAGGCTTTTAGCCAGATTTATATTGAGAATCAAGGACAAAGAGCCTGGCAGGATGACTTAAAATGTTGTGAGTTTGGCCAGAAAGAAAGCTCCAGTAATGCTGTGGACTGCAAAGGTGGAGCTGAGAAGATATCCATTGCTGAGAAAGAACAAGAAAATTAGAAAGATGGCCTGAGGGCATCACAAGAAGCAGCAAGTCTCCACCCCTTGCAGCCTCAAAACTGCAAAGGTGAAAGACCTCGCCTTGAGAAGAAAGCTGCTGAGCGCCATGTTCCAGAATGGCGGTGGCAGCTGTACCAGGTTCCAGAATGACAGCAGCATAGAGGATTTGTTCCTCAGAATTGGATTCAGAGTGCCTAGCAATCCAGGCACTTGACCCCTGTGGCCAAGAGAGAGGAAAACTTGGCTACTGCTCCAGGTGGCAGCAGACCTTGGCATTATCCCCATGGCCCTGGCTTTAGGTGCATGGAAAATGCAGGAGTTCTGAGGTTTAAGAGGCTTCCACCCAGATTTCAGAAGGCCTGGGAGGCCAGGCAGTGTGCCCCTGAGAGGGCAGTGTGCAAGGCTGTGAGTGTGAATCAAAAGGTGCACTGGAGACCTCAGAAGTTTGGAAAAGCCAGGACCGTGAATCATCTGAGGAAAGTTGCAAGAAGGGAGCAAAATGGGCCTAAGAGAGAAGCCGTATAAGCAGTAACCACCAGAAGTGCCATAGGGGTGGACTCATGAAAGCCCTTTGGAGCTCACAATGTGCCACAAGTTGCTTCAGATGCTGGACATGAAACCACAGGCCATAATGTTAGCCCCACTGGATTTTGGCCTTTTTTTTGTCCCAATGTTCTGTATCCCCCCGTTTGTACCTTTTGGAGCGGTACTGCTTATTTTGTGCCATTGAATGTTGGAAGTGTTTAACTTTTCATTTGTACAGGAGCTCACAGCTGAGAGTTTGCCTTACATCTCAGAGGAGCCTTGGTAGTTGGACTCTTCAGCAATGCTGCAATTGTTAGTACTTTGGCAACTCTTGCAGATGGGCTAAATGTCTTTTACATAAAGGGATATACATGAGTCTTTAGGGAGTGAAATGTTATGGTTCTAACATAATATAATGTTTTTGTATCTGGAAACTTGTTTAAAGAAATGTATCTGGTTGACAAATTGACAAGGGGTGGAGTGTTATGGTTGATACATTGTGTCAACTTGGGGAGTCTAGAGGTTTGGCTAAGGGACTCAGCAGGGAGCCAGGGTGCTTACTTTGCATACATCCTGAGCCTGTGGAAGAGGAGGACATGGAAATTATGTGAGAGCTACATGCCCCTTAGGTGGAGGTAGCCTGTTTACAAAGTAAGGCAGGGAAAGAAGCTGCTTGACGGTTCCTCCCTTTTGCTCTGGCTGCTTTTCTGTTCGGCTGCCATTCCCCTCTTTGCTCTTGTTGCTTTGCTATCTTCTGCCTCGGAGCCAGCCAAGTATGGACCTCCACAAACTGTAAGCTAAATAAACATTTCCTTCCTTCATTTTGGGTGTTGGGTATTTTGTCTCAGCAACGAAAGAGAACTAACTAAGACACTGGGTATTCCTTGTTCTCTCTATCCTGTAAGCACTTTCACAGTTATTGGAGTGGCTGACTTCCTTCTCTCCCACAGGTCCCAACTACAGGTATGATATCACAAGAGTCTCACATGACATTATAATAATACAGCAAGCCATGATCCTGATTTTCCCTTCCCTCTTCTCCTTACCTAGCTATTTTGTACATTTGCTTATTTGTCTATTTGTCTATTTGCTTATTTGTCTGTTTGTATCTCATCTCTAGAATATTAGATCTGGCAGAGCAAGGATTCTGTCTATTTTATTCACTGCTACAACCCAAGCAATAAGCCATTGTTCAACACTTAGGAGATGCTCAGTAAATATTATTTATTATATGACTGAATTTGTCAAATGTGTATATGAGTACTTCTTTTATAATTTTCTTTTGCTAATTTGTGACTGTCTCTCATAAACACACAAGCAGCAGTCATACATAAAATGACATGCCTGTGTATATTCCAGAAAATTCACATTTCCTGCTCGATTGGCTTAGTTTTCTTCATAGACAAAAATTGATTTCACATCCCTTTTACCTCCTCCAAACTTCATTTCATCTGTTACTCTGTTGTGTAAAGAAATGAGGAAAAGTCTCAAACTTGAAGATACTAATAACGAATGCTAAGGCCCTGAAGGTTTGTTGTGTGCAAACAGTGGCCATAAACAGGACTTTGAGTCGGCTGCTTTCCTGGCAGAGCCTGTGCAGAGCCGTCTCTGAGTGCTGTCCTCTCTAGCCCACATAACAAGCCCCTGAGTCACTGCTATTTTTGTTTGCTTTCTTAGTAAAGGAGGAAATAGGTTTTAAAGGGTCAGTAACATCCCAGTCACAAAGCTAGTAAATGGCAGAGCCAACATGCAAACACGGGCAGTCTGGCTCCAGAGTTTTTAAATGACTACAGTGCGTGCAGATAAACCACTGCCCCAGGAGACTGACTCTGTCTCATTTGATGATTACTAACTACCGTTATCTCCAGTTGGAAGTATGAAAAACTTGGGCCTGGGGAGAACTGGTAAAGAGTCAGGCAGATTCATGGCCTAGACAGGAGCTCAGGTCCACGGCCTTCCAGGAGTTCCACCTAACATGCGCTGGTCCAAGGTCAAGGGGCAAATGGCACTGGAGCTTGGTTGAGAGCAGGCAGGGTACTAAGCACCGATTCAAGTTTGGCATGTCCTTGTGCCTGGAACCTTTTCAAACCACGAAGAAAAGTGTGACCAGAGGTTGACCAGGAAAGGGGCAGAACCCAGGACAGAGATAGCTGTTTTCTGAATCTGGGAGAGGTCTTGGCGTCCCAACTGTGTTCCCAACCTTCAAGTCATGTATCCATCTCAGGGCAACAAATAATAGTCAGCTTCCACCTTGGAGGTGTCCTCTTTCCTGTTCAGTTGCTGTTTTACGCGCATTTTCTATGTAATTGATGTAATGACCTAACCACATAAACTATAGTTATGGCTTTTCCTGGTTATAAAGTCTCAACAATCAAACTGCTCATAAAGAGGCAATTTCTGATTCCTGGTTAGGTCTGTTTCGTCAGCACAGTGAGGTCCTAACTCCATGTCTACGCAGTATCAGGGTGTCTAACCCTGAATTATCCCATCCCATCACTCCCCTCTTTCTCGTACTCCAAGTGGAGCTTTTACTCACTGTCAATGGGGAAACCATTGATTCTCCACGTGATTGTGGGTTGCGGCTCCCCTTCAGCCTCACACAACAAGATGCCGCTGCTCCCCGTGCTGTACACGCCACTCTCGGGTTTCTTTGTCCAGCGAGGAGGCTCTGGAAAAAAGGGAAGATTTTACTCAGAGTAAAACACTCAAAAATGTTAAGCCTGTTGTTTCTACTAGGTGCCAGCAGAGGGCAGAAATCACATATTTTTTTTTCATAGTACGTACAGTAGTTCTGGTTTTGGGGGGGTTGTTTTCTTTTTTTGGTAATGGTTCTGCAAAGAAAGGAGGGTGTTTTGTGAAGCATAGTGTGTGTGTGCTTGTGCATGTATGTATGTGCATGCTCTGTGTGTTCACTTAATTTGGACTCTAAGCATGTATACTAAACTACCTACTAAAAATAGTTGTGCAACCACTTTATTTAGCTATGTAACTATCTATTCTGTTTGCAGAAAATGAAAGAAGAAGAACAGATGGTGAGTTCTTCAGTACTGGCTACAACTTATTCTCAAGCTGCAGGATGTCATCTGAGAAAGGTTGACATTCTAGAAATATATACAGAACTTCTAAAATAAACCCAATTGAAAATTTCTACATTTAAATAGTTCGTAATGACTTTATATCAATGTGTCCCTATCTGTACTTATTTATTAATCAATTTGTATAATACTGTATTCTAGAGATTTTGTTTAATAAAGAAACAGATACAGAAGCTTAAAAGCAACATTTGATTATTGCCCTCAAAACGAATTTTCTGGAACATACACAGGAGGGAACTAAATTACTTGCATCTTTCTATGAACTAAAGCTCCAGTAGTATACTCTTGAGTTGTATTTCAGAACAAAAGGAAGCATTTTTATTTAGTTCAAGCATTACTGTCATATTTTGTAAGCTTAAGCATATTATTATGCTAACAGCTAATAAAAGATTTCATAAATGTATGGATGGTTTGGATGATTTAACTTCAGAGAAAAACACACAAAACCTACAGGCAGTAACTCCCAGCAACTGTTGCTGGGTTATTTCCTGGAAGGATTTTTTGATTTCTGCTTTTATTCAAAAAAAGGAAAAGCTGTAAATATATATGCATGTATTAAATCACAATATCTTTTCAATCTTTTCATGTAAAAGAGAAAATGAATGTGTAAAAATATTTATAAAATTGCCAGGTGAAACAAAAATATGCAAATAACTCTGCCAAGTTCAAGTCAGAGCAAAAGAAACACCTTTGTAATTGTTCCACAGGATGTGGACTTAATTGGTAAATTCCAACTTATACACCTATATTAATAGTTCATTAATCTATGGCTCTTTAGTCACTTATTTTGAAATGCAGTTGTCTGAGTTAGAAACTGAGCATTCACTCTTAAGGTGACGGTGGTGGGTGTTTTTGTTCCAGATTTGTATGTGAAGGCCCTTTTTCTTCTCTTATGCAACAACCATAGAATTAAATAAGATGTGTTAGAGAGAAATGCTCCATGAACATGAAAATTATGTCTAGGGTCGTAAGTTCTGACTATTGCTTCCAGAGAATATAAAAATACAAATCATGTAATGATATTTGTCTAAATCTTAATGTATAATAAAATCAGGATTTGTATCTCTATTCCCTTCCTATGAATTTCATTAATCTCTCAGTGACTGCCTTCAGATCTGTGAATGTTAGGGCTGGAAGGAGTCTTCAGATGGCACCTCATTCAATCCTTTCACCTTAAAGGCTAATTTTTCCATGGTTAGCAGTAAAGAATCCTCATTTCCTGTTCCAGACACTCCGGGGATCTATAGACAGCAGCACTGAAGCCCTTGGTCAGCTTCTACTTAAATGTGGTCTTATCAGCTTGGACCTGAGATAGGAATCAAGGTCAATTCAGCTTATCAAGTGTTGCTTTGTTCTTCTAAATCCAAGCTCCCAGTATCTGTGTTAACTGACCCAAGAAGTTGCAGGCAAGCAGTAGGAATCATTGCTAACGTTTGCCTGAACCTTGCTTCCTAAGCTTTATGAATGTTCAGACAAGGGAAGCATTGGTATTTATGTTTCTTTTGCATGTTTCTTCTGCAAGATTAAGCTGGTCATGGGCAGAGGTAGATTTTGCCACGTGATTTGAAAGAGACCACCAGCCTGTCTTGACACCACCCTTACTTCTACCCCAGGCAGATGTCAATAGTGAGAATCGTCCAACTGGTGATTTCCTAAGAGCCAGGGCCAAATCTTACTCAGCTTAGCATAATGTCTTGGACAAAGCAGACACATGTGGAGTACTACGAAGTTGTAATGCGAGGATAGATCCCCAAAGATTTCAGTCAAAAAGATAGAAGAGAAGAGATGGCACCTTGGATAGGAAGAAATAACTGCTTTCTAGTCATTCACTCTCATAACTACACACATTTGTTGAACATAGCAGCTAGTTGGTACCTAGTATACTAAAGCAAGGATCATAAGCTTGAGAACCTTAGCTTTGTGATGGAAAGTTTAGGATGGCTGAGGTACAGGCAAGCAGAGACAAAGAACAAACAGATTTTTTTCCTGAGGTTAAAACGTGCAACTGTGTTCCTCCAGGGTTGATCTTTTTGAGTGAGTGAAGACTCAACAGTGTGGACAGATAGTAAAACCTGAAACCACTGGGAGAAACCACGTATTACCCTAAGATAAGCAGCAAGTGACAAAAATTACATCTGTTGAAACTTTACTCACCTAACCATAATCGTACACAAAAATTTAATGATAAATCTGCCTCATATTGCTGAAAATGAAGACAAAATATCTGAATATTGAGAATGTCATAGCCAAGCTAATAAGACGTGTTCATCACTAGTAAAAGAAAGGAGAAATAAAACAGGAAATTTGATTCCCATAAATCAAAACACAGTGCATTTTTTTAGTAAAACTTTTTTCAAAAATTTTTATTACATATTTATAGTATAATAAATTGTTAGGTTCATAAAGAGTTGAATTTAATGGCTACTTTTTAGAAATTGATTTCTTCTTTAAAGTGTGGCTTTCTTAACAATATCAAAATCAAATTGAACTTCAGTGTGTGGCATCCTTTTAAAATTCACAAAAATTTGAATTATATTATTGATACATAATTATTAATAAATAATTGCTATTAAAAAGTTTTAAATAATCAGTTAAATATGAGATTATAGTTTGATTTCTGAATGCAGATTTCAGGTGCAATTTTAATATATTTCTTTTTACTCAATTAGAATTATTCCTATCATGGATAACTAGAAAGTATAATTGTACCCAGTTAAGACATCATGGTTGTTTTGGTTCATACATATGACAAGATTTGAATTATAATTTGATTTCATATTTAGAATGTTGCCGATTAAATTATAAGCTCATTCCATTTGTGACTGTGTTTTGTTTTCAGGAAGACATATCACAGAGACTAGAATACAAGCTATGCATTTATTTAAGCACAAAGAGTATTTTCAAAATGAACCAGATCATCAGATGTATACAAGAGCGGTGTCCTTTTACCCTATGGATAGTTCTTGTTTTTTAAATCGAGTTTCCAAACAAGATACAAGAAAAGACAAGCAAGAGGAAGATGAAGGAAGGAAAATCAAAATTGAATAAATGTAAATTCATCCATCTAGATGGTTAACGAAGGTTATATAGCACTGCTTTCACACTTTAGAAAGGGAGAAAGGTTTTCTTGAGCATAATTTAATTTCCACAGGCATATGTAAAGAGAAAGTTCTAAAACATATAGGTAATGGTATATTTAGTAGTTTATTACTAAGGGAAAATGATTAAATATTCCTCATAAAAGCATTATTTACATCTCAATACTGCTAATAGCTGCTTCATGAATAGAGAGAAAAATACTTTCAGGAAACCTACACCCTTGGACTCCTAGAGTCAACATTTTAAGTTGCATAATTAATTTTATGTGTTTGATTTTTTTGCAAGCCTTGCAATTCTTTTGAAAGCATTGGTCTTACAGTCAAGAAAACCACGGCCAGATTGTTAAAATATTCAGCTATCGTAGCAATGTTCCAGCCATCTGGAAAGATTTCTAATCGTCAGCGACTTGGTGTAGAAGCTGCTAACAATTAGACATGTCTAGTTCGTGCGTATGTGAGTATGCCAGAGAGGGGGTAGGGAGTTATACAATATAGCCAAATTATATAGAAGCATCAAGTGATGTTTTAAAAATTATAAACAATGTAGATCTTTCAAAGCATTCAATTAAATTTAATTCTCTCTGAATTTCTTACTGGATAATTTGTCAGAAAGATATATTATTGTTGCCAGATGTGGATGCTCATGCATAATATTAATTTTTCTCCAATATAGGTTTTTGATCCTTTGAATTAAATACAATGAAATTTTCATCTACTGTTTTCTGTTCTAATTTTAACTAATAATACACATTTTAGAGCAGATTTTGATACACAGCATTATTCTAAACAGGAGCATGACTAAATTAATTATCATAATATTTACTTGTGAGTGGCATTTCATTTCTTTTAAAACAACAGGCCATTCCTTAGGTGGTATTTGTGCAGACTGAAGCTCTAAGAGGTGAACTTTATTGCAATATTAATGGGAGCCCTAAAGCACTAGTTCACTAAATTGTAGTCTGGGAAACACAATTCCTTTCAATAGTTAAGCCTACACAGTACTAAGTAAGTACAAATGAAGTAATCATTTCATTAATTTGATCAATACAGCCCACTAAACCATAGATAAAAAGTCTCAGGGTGATCAGACCCACAGAAAATAGTCTGTATCAATCAAATTCACCACAGGGCTAGATAGCCCTCACTTCTGCCAGGCATGGCTATATTTTGTGGCTGCTACTTCTTAAAGAAGATATCATCATTGCCTACCTATTGCTATCAATAAAACAAAGGACAGTAGAACATCAGTTGATGGATTTGCAGAGTCAATTTGAACATAATGTACTTTTTTCTACTTTTGATAAAGAATCAGCATTTATAACATATAGTCTATTCTTATTTCCTCATAAACAATATGTAGAAAACAATTTAAATTGAAGATATAGACCCCTCCAAAGTGCTGGCTCTAGGATGGAGCTAAGATTTCCTCATGACTTCAATGAAGGAACTGAGGTGCAGCGTTATGACTTACACTGAAATCTAAAATCTCAAGCATTCAGAGGTAGTGATTTTGTGAGGTGACCGATCATGGAAGCACTCTACTCATCGGAGGGTTCATCCACGGATGAGTTCATTCCTACAAATTTTGTTAGGAGGAGGGGCTTGCTTGGAAGCTGTGTGTTACTGTGGGCTATATCTGCTGCCCAGCCCCCTGCCTTCTGTATCTGCTTCTTTGCTGCCTGGAGGTGAGTGAGCTGCTGTCCTACCCTGCCATTCCATCATGCCATTTTTGTTTCTACCTTGGAGCCAGCCAGTCACAGACTGAATCCTCTGAAACCTGAGCCAAAGGAAACCTCTCTGTCCTAAGTTATGTGTGTCAGGTATTCTGTCCCAGTAATACAATGATGAGAAAGTTACTAACACTAAGGTGAAACAATGTGATCAAGGACATAGCAAGATAATAACAAGATTAGGAACTAAAGACCATTATGATGGAAGAAAGTATTACAAGGAGTTCCAGACTCCTTGGAACTCCATCATAATGGAAGAAAGTTCCAGACTCCTTGTAATACTTTCTTCCATCATAATCCTTACTGTCTTGTGATACTAGGGATTGAAACCAGGGCCTTCCCACTGAGCTTCACTCACAGCCCGTTTTGCTTTATTTTATTTTGTGATAACGCCTCACTAAGCCACTAAGTTGTCAGACAGGGAATCGAACTTATAATCCTTTGCCACAGACACCCAAAGTGATAGAATCACGGGCATGTGCTACTACAGTGAGCTTCCTTTCTTCCTTTTAGTGAGTTAATATTATACATCATCATATGTACCTTACAATAAAGATCATTTTTCACAATAAGATGATTTAGGAGACTAGGTTTAATAAGTAGGAGACTAGGTTTAATAAGATGATTTAGGAGACTAGGTTTAATAAGTACTTGAATAAACCATGGAAACTGTGTTTAAACCCTACATAAGACCTTTTTGTGTCATTTGTCCCTTTCATGTGGCTCAGGGGTGGTGGGGTAAGTGAAAACCTCATCAACTGAAATGTAGTATCATTCAGTTCACACTGAAGGTGTGAAATGTAGTATCATTCAGTTCACACTTAAAGGTAAGACATTATAACAAATATGGTAAGACATTATAACATACAAAATTGGTAAGACATTATAACATTATAACTAGATATGCAAAAATCCTCTAATTATATTAATTCATTTACGAGAGAAACAACATAAATCCTCATGGGGAACGTACCTTCCACTATGACATGAAAATCATGACTGGCTATTCCCAAGACATTGCTGGCTATACAGCGATAATTTCCTTTGTCCCGGTAGGAGATATTTTCTATCTTCAATGTGTTGCCATGATTTTCTTTTGTTTCACTTCTTTTTGGTAAATCGCCCCCCAATTTGTTCCATTCAACCTGTGGAGTTGGCCTACAAAAAGCACATAAATACATACATAAACAAATAAATAAATAAATGTTACATATAAAGAAATTCTCAGGGCACACTCTTCATCAGGTTGGTTCTGCATACATTCTCAGGTACCTCTGAATTATGCAGACATGTCAAAGGACAGACAGACACACTATCTTCAGTGATGAAATCAGGGTTGGACCAGGTTTCTTTCACTATAAATTCCTTTAAGAGTCTACACATTCTTGGCAATTCTCAGCCCCACTCTTAAGGTGCCTAACTTCGTGTAGGTGCTGAACAAATGTAGCTGAATGAATAACTGGACTTCGTATCATAGAAATAATATTTCAAAATAGTTCATGAAGTGTTAAAATTTCCTTGTGGATAATTTGAGGGGGTCAGAGATAACAGCCCTTTGCCACATGTGAACTTGAAAGACATAACAAACAAGGACCCCATAGTCAGTGCATGGGTGACATGAATTCCCCTTTCATCCTAATGGCTGATACTGGAGAAGTTGGCACAAGTGCACCAGCTGGATGAGGGATATCCTGTTTGGTCCAGGGCAAGCTGAAGTATACAGTGCAGTCACTGCTACCCAGGTGGCTTTCTCACCTGTGGAGAGTAGAGGGAAAGAAGCAAGAACCAAATCTCCCTGACAGAAAGCTGACTTTGAGAAGATTAGCTCCTCCAAACATACATACACACACACACACACACACACACACACACACACACGGAGGAAAACAAAATCAAAGCAGTAACTCATCACAAACTAGTACAACAACTTCTCCACCTTATGATGAAGGAAATCAAGAGTGGGGAGTCAAGCAAATCAGTTTTAAGAAAAATCACTTCTCATGCAAACCTGAAAAACAGAAGACTCAGGTGATTTTAAATTACCGTGGAAAGTAATAATGGCTGCCCTCAAGTGAGAGAGGGTTCTATCACCTTTCTGCTCCCTTGTTGGGATACATAAATGGGAAGAACTTAATTTTGTTATTTTCACTGATACTACTTTTTTCTCACTATATTCCTTTTTGTTACTAATAGCTGTAATGATTGAGTATGCTCTAATGTGGACATTATTATTATTATTATTATTATTATTATTATTATTATTTTTTTGGTTTTTCTCCGGTACCGGGAACCGAACTCACGACCTTGCGCTTGCCAGGCAGGCACTTTTGCCGCTGAGCTAAATCCCCAGCGCCTTAACGTGGACATTATTATTATCTTTCTTCTAGGAAGAAATTTTTTTTTTTTTGGTACCGGGAATCAAACTCAGGACCTTGCGGTAGGAAGAAATTTGAATTCCAAGAAGTTAGTTCGATTAAGGTCACTGTAGTAATAAAAGACCTTAAACCTGTTTTTATTATTTTTTTCTACTAGATTTTTGCTTTTCATAAAAATCTGTGTTCTTGTTGATTGCACATCCTTAGATATATGATTATAGCCAAAGTTTCTATTGGTTGTTAGATAATAATTAAGTGATTATCTCAAACTGTTTATTTGCAAGCAATAGTTAATATTATTCAATTATTATGCAAAATTTTTGGATAGAAATTCACATCACTTCACACACATTCACTTCACATCCATTGGTTCTTTCCTTTTTCTTTCAGGGATCAAGCACTTCCCTGCCTTACAGGTCTGAAATGTGTTGGATCAGGTCAGAGCACATGGCATCCTACTTAGGAAATGGGCACATGCAACATTAGCTGTTGACTTCCGGAGAACACCACTGAACAGAATGCATAACCCAGGTCTCCTAACTGCTGACTTTTCACTCCATCTGTCGAAATGGCATTGTGCCAAGTCACAGGCTGCTCTGGACCTTAGTTCCTTCCATAGAAAAATTTTTCGTGAGTCCATACTTTCATAATGCAAGTGTTTCACTTTCTGCTAGATCTAGTTTATTTTAACGCTTGTGCCTTGAAAACTACCAATCTTCTCATACCTTTCACTTCAAAGAATTAAATAAAATGATTTTGTGTCAGCTCACCATGAGAAATTATCTAGGGACAGGTTTACACCACTAAAAGAATTTCGAGCTATGCCTTTGGTAATTTCTTTTTTGTTTTTAAGGAACATTTAGCAACACTGTTTGGGCAATGATGTTTTCATGGAAAATATATTGCTTAATATCTTTCCATACACATATATCATAAATATATACTAGCTTCTAACCTCCAATTTATTTTCATGCTCTTACCTCACAAATTTTAATCTTCTACTTCTTGTTTCTAATGTACTATCTTGCAACACAATCATACCCAGCTTAAATTCATGCTAATTCTATTAATGTTTCACAGGGTGTCAGTGAATGTAAATTTTTAAAATTCTTTTTCACTCAGGGTACGAACATTTTTCTCTCGAACAGGGTTCAAAATGTTCTTTAACTCTTCCCAGCTTCTACCTTATGAACAGAATCTATAGACTCTGAAGCCCCTCTACATGGATATCTCCTTAAAAGTTTTCCTGCTTTGATTAACATTATTAAACATTTACTGAAATATCCATCTTTATGCAACTTCAGATGCAGCAGTAATGTCACTCTCTGTGTGTGCCCCCATCTTTATAACAAACCACACATGTGGTTAAAATATTATGTAAAAATAGGTTATATTTAGAGGTAGTTAGAGTTTCTGGTGGCAGAACGGAATGCAACTTCACCTTCTATTAAACTTAGAAAAGTGAATTCACATCTCTAAATGGGTGTTCGGGGCTTCATTTATCTAACCTGTAAAAGGGAATAATTGTAGTCACGAAACATGATGAGGATAGAGTGAGTTAATGCATGTAAAGAGAAAAATATAATTCTTGACAGAATAGCAGTACAATGTCTTAGCAATCATTACTTTTGTTGGTATCAAAAGTTTGTGTTTTAAACTTCCTAGAAATTTTTTTAACTTAAAAACGTTTTTATAGTGTACCACTCTAGCTGAAGAAAAACTAAATAGATAAGATTGTCTCACCAAAACCCACTCTGAGCAGGACAAAAACATTTCAGGTGAAATCTCTTATGAAAATGTGTAAGAAATCTTCATGTCCAAAGGATAACACAAATTGATGTTTATTATCTTTTTATATAATGCCTCATAAACTTAAAGTTCTCCAAAGTACCTGAGAACATTTCTCTTATTTTGAAGACAATCTGTGCTTTTGCCAGCCAATATAATATGTAAATCATGGCATTATGAGAAATAAGAAAATGTGAATTACTGAAACGCTCTGCTCAAAAAGTCATCCCAGAATAGTGACAAACACTGAAAGAATTTAATTTGCACCACTGTAAACACATGACTACAACCACTTGAGCGACTGGTTACCCTCATAACTCAAATCAAGCCTTCAGTCTTTAACCTGATGAAAAATACGGAGATCTGGAACATCTAAGTAACCGAGTATCAGTATACATTGGCAATTTAAGGCACACAAGAAAACTGAGTATTTTTCCTGGATAAGAAGAAAAACTTACAAAGCATAGTACTTGTAAAACCATTCAAATCCACCCCTTTTCTTCTAATGTAATCTAATTTAAAGGTTAGTCATTCAGAATGTACACTAAATTATGAATGAATATGGTTTTTGAAATGTCAGATCCTAGTCTCCTGAAAGCTTATAATACCGTTATGTTCAAATGAATAAACTTGGGCATTCAGAAGAAGCAGTGTAATTTCTGACAGCTTTTGCAACGGTATCAAAGGACCATTAAATTTGGAACAATAGTGGTACAAGCAGGTGGCCTTTCCTGACCAAAATTAATATTTTAATTAATAGGCTTAATGGGTTGGCCCCAGACTTCTTGTAGTTACACAGACTTCTTGTAGTTACTCAATACGGGTAATGGCTTCAGATGACCAAGTGAGATCCCTTAGCACTTTCACGGAGGACTAGAAAAGTGCACTGCTTTTACAGTTGGGAACAAAGATCAGTTAGCTAGCTTTTGTGTGAAACTCATTAATTCCATGATCAGGGCTTTCTTGAATGTAAAGGATAACAGCAGAGCAAATAGGTAAACAGAGTCTTGGGAAATTTAAAGGCAACATAGATAGTAACATAGAAAACAAGAGTGGGTCAAGCCAAGGGAGTAGAAAATGAAAAAACAGGTGAGAATAAGAATTAGTCAGGCGCTAATGAGGGCATTAGACTTAATCAGTTGGCTTAACCAGGAAGACTTTGTCCCCTCCATTTACAATAACACAAAGTGACTGAAAGATCTAATTATAAGTACATTTCAGTCATAGCCTGCAGTGTATAGGGTGAAGTACAAATTATTTTTTCCAGAAATAAAGTTAACAGGATTTATTTCGGGGAAAAATAATTTTTAAATATACAAAAAATACATTCTTGAATGATGCCGCATTGTTCACAGCAGTGGATGGATAAAGCTGCCGGGTTACTCACAGGCCCTCCGCGAAGCACTCCAGCGTCAGAGTCTCCCCTTTAAGGATGACAACAGCGGACTCGCTGCCTGCCTCGGGCGGGGGCAGTAGCAGCCGAGGTTTCCTCTGCTTGATTGAATTTGCTATAAAAGAGAAACGAAAAGATAGATTTTTTTTTTTTCAAACTACAAGCAACTGAAATTCTGAGGTACTAATTCTTGCTTAAAAGCCTAAGTAAGAATCTAGGTATGTTTGTGTATATGTGTGTGTGTGTGTGTGTGTGTGTGTGTATATATACATATATATATTTATGTATGTATTTTAATATATTTCTATCTAAATAGACTGTTCCTCTTTCATCCCTAGATGTGTTCACTATATGTAAAACCACACTTTAGAAAGGTCATAATTTATACGACTTGTTCTACTTTAGAAGTTCAAACATTATTAAAAACAAATAATTTCTTGACAAAGCCCTTAAGTAAATTGATAGTTTGTGATTTTATACTCTACATTTTAATCATGCCTTATCATGTTTGATAGCTGTGTGTTTTTCTTTAATTTAACCTGCTTAAGTATTGGATACGGTTCCTATGAAATGCTTCCTAGACTCTGTCCAGAAATTCTGATTCAGGAAGCCTATGGTAGACACTAGCTATCTATGAACTTTACAGGGTATTCTGGCAATTTTTTATGGCCTCAGGCCTTCAAAGATAAACAGTTGCAGGAAATTATTACTAAGAATTCTCACTAACTACAAATTAATAAGGTCTATCTATCTTATTATTAATAACTTTCAAATGCAATGGCAAATTAGCAAACTTCCATTTTTATTGCAAATTTTTATCTCATTGCAAAGGTTATTATAAGTTGTTACTTTTTCATTTAATATCAAGGTGACTTTACCTTTTATGGAAAGAAAATAAATAGCTGATATTCTATCATCATAAGAGAGTAATACACAGCACAGGGAGCAGTGTATATTTTGCAATAATTTTGTATGACTATATATTCACTGAGAAATAATTATCAAATATGTACTATGTACAGTGATTTTTATTTAGTGCTCTGTTTTTTTTTTGTTGTTGTTGTTTTTCTCTGATACCGGGAACCGAACTCACGACCTTGCGCTTGCCAGGCAGGCGCTTTTGCTGCTGAGCTAAATCCCCAGCCCCTAGTGCTCTGAAGATACAGAAATATATACATTTGAGTTATTGATTAGAAAGAAAATAATGATTACTGGGAATGAATCAACCCACCTTATAACGGAGGGGACTCCAAGAAGAGTCTTCATCTACTTCTGCTGATGTCACCAACATACGTGGAATCTAACTTACACTATTAGTTCACATGATGTAAACATATTCCTTGCATTCATGTATATGATTCTTTTCATTATAGAAAACTAGCCTACTCTATAATGCAGAAATCCTATATAGAATACAATTTCTACAGATAGTTTATGGACAAAATAAAATTGAATTTAAAAGGTTCCACAGAAAATTGGGCTGGGAAAATACTGCAAACTATATTCTTTATCAGAGAATCACAATGCATAGTGGCATATTAACTATTCCAATAAGTCCTGCAAGAACAATAGTAATCATTTAACTTCCTTAAACCCAGTATTTCTCTATTTCTCATCACTTACCCTGGTTTTATTTTTCCTTTCTTCACATAACACTATCAATTTTATCCAACGTATGAGACATTCTGAGAGCCCAAAAATAACTTCTCAAATATCTACGTCTATATTTATAGTTATAACTATTTATTTACGTAAATTATAGTATAGGTAAGCATACAATTATGTTTATATAGTTATATATTTATGAAAGTCACTCCCTTTGCACATGTTTGAGAGGAGATGAAAGACAATTAGACCTTCTGCTAAGGGGTTTTCTTTAACAGAAATACTAGCATTTTACAAACTCATGAAGGTAATAAAGAAAACATTCTAACTCAGAAATGATAATGAACGGCTTAAAGTGAACAAAAATGCCAACGTTACACGTGTCCAACTTACCCTTGGAACTAATTTCTGTGGATGAACTTGAGTCATTAGCATGCTTTACTGAAATAAAAAATGGAAGAAAAACACAAACATAATGGTAGATGCTGATATCTATAAAGAATGAAAAGCCAAATATTTCTCTCTGGATAATTACAAAATGAGGTAGAACCATGCTTCACTAAAACACTGTCTATGGGAAAACAGGCTTACATAATAAGAAAACTTTTTAAATGAGCTTAATCTTGAATTACCACACATTAAACCAGGTGGAAAATATTAAAGTTATAAATCCATTACAGAGAAATTAGATTACTTAATGAGTGTTAAAGTGAAGACATGGTAGAATGTATCAACACACAGCAAAGAAAATAGCATGAATCACATCAGACAATGAGACAGAAACACCAACTTCCAGCTACACCAAGGCTGATTGTACAGTTAGGGAGCTGTGGGGGATTATGTCCTCACTTTGAATTTTATATGTCTTCCTCCTATGAATTGCTTTTTCACATTTGAGAATCCATATTGGCATTTTCAGAATCCAGTAAGAACAACGATAAATTAAAATAACTCTACCAATTTGGGAAGAATAAAGAAAAACTTCTATCTATAAAATATTAGTACTGATTATGGTTTGACTTTTTGAAATTTTTCCCTCCCATTTCAATTCTGTTGGTTTATCCAAGGTCACAGTGAATCAGTTCCTGAGACTTGACTGGAAAACCCTGGAATTTCATTTTGTAATTTACCCACAGAAAATGACTGGATCTGCAGCCATCAAATGAAATACACTTGTCCTGTGAATTGAGATTTGATTTTCTGGCTGCCAGAGACAGAGCTACTGTGGATTTGCAGCTGCAGATGTCTCTTTCATCTGGATGAAGTCTCTAGAGTTGAACTAAACAATGAGGAAAATACCAACCCAGCTTTAAATGGCTTCAACCGGGATGAAATTATAGACAAATTTGCATGTCGTGTGCACGATGGAATAAATTATTTGGACTTACAACTGTTCACTGTTAGTTTCATTGGCATTTTTTGTACAATCGTCCTTAATTTTGGAAAGGCAGCGAAGCAGCAGTAATCATTCCGACTGTCTTTTTCTTCCACATTTGCGAAGTACAGGTCTCCTTTTTGGCTCATGTATACTCTTTTATCTTGTTCTATGTGTTCTAATTCTGCAAAGAAATATTTTGTCATTGAAAGGCACAACTGCCCCTTATGTTACCTTGCTTCCTTTATCAATTTTATTTCTTTTGTGTTATTTCACTTGATTTGGATTTTCTTGTCTGCTCCTATTTCTCTCAAATCCTGATTTACTAGAGGAGCAATAATTGAGGGACAATCAAAATATACAAAAAACACCCTGGACATACGCTTCTCATATTAACCAAAGAAGTCCACTGACTTACCAGAGTTTGATGGTCTATGTTTGTACCTCTGCTTTCTGGATTTGCATTGGCTTATCTGAAACCTGGTCAAATCAGATAATGGTCTGATTCTTACTTTCATTTTCTGTGACCTTCTCACCCTCCCTTACCTGGATGCAGCATGGAAAATTTTAGAATGACCAGAGTTTGGAAATGTTAACTTTATCCAAGAAATTTCATCTACTTTCTTCTCAGTGCTCTACAAACACCACTTTTCTGTGGGAGCCAGAGTGAGGGCCATCTAGGAAGCCTCACTAAGGCTCTTGCTAGCAGAGGACTTTGCAAGAACCTGAATCAATTAGGGTTTTTGGAAAATTAAGGGCAGAGTATAATACAAAATTCTTTCCTTACTCTTTCAGTTCTTCACAATATGGGATACAATACGATGTTTACACATGTCAGTCTGATTTTTTCACTTATGAGTTAATTCTCTATCATCTTGTTTTGAAATCCATTATCACTTTTTATTGTTTTTTGATTCTTACTTTTTTATTCTCTCATAATAAAATAAAATATGGAAAAAATTTTGTGATTCACTTTGTTTAGCAGGTAGAACATTGTTAAGATAGAATATATCAAGGTAGGCAGACCCATACAAGACATCCTCAATTCTGCTATGGGTTACATTCCAAAGATAAGTAAATGGCTTGTAACACAGATGTATTTCTTCACAGACATACACTATTATGGCAGTACCCTCTGTTCTTTGCAAATATGATAAAATGAGGAGCTATCTTTAGTTCTGTTCTAGGGTTTACATACACATACATTAGTTTATATTCCCTTTATATTTAGAACTAGGGACAAGTTTCAATATGTCTAACTTTAGAAGTCTACTTAATTCCACATGGATAATCATATATGAATATTCTATCTTTGAATTCTTTTTTCAGGGGTGGGGGAGTTGATTTTCTTTTGGCTTACTGTGTAGCGCAGGCTGGCCTTAAATTCACTATGTAGTCCAAGCTGGCCTCAAACTCATGGTAACCCTCCTCCTCTAGCCTCCCTGGGATGATGAGCATGCAGCGCCATGCCAGGCTTTGTCCTTGATATCTTTAGGTTATTTACATGACATATGAAATTACAGTGCCCCTTATTGATGGAGGGGAGCACTGCTTACCTATATTCATCCAGTAAATGTGCAGAGGTGGGAGGCCTTTGGGAGGGTTGCATTGAAGAACGATGGGATCGCCTTCTTCTACATCCAGAGGCTCAATTTTTTCCTTTGGGAATTTTGGAACACCTGATATAGAGATCATTTTAAGATATTTGAAAATGAACTATTAATATCATAATATTGTAATATATTCTTTTTAAAAAATTAGACATTTAAAGAAACAACATTCTTGATTATCCTTTTTCTTAGAAATCCAAAGATCTACTCATTAACTGTAAAATTTCTTTTGAGAAGCTTCTGGCATTCTCACATCTCCCCTGCAAAGGTAAACACAATTAAGAATACGTTCTTTGTCCTTACACAACTTCAAAAGTACTTTGACACTATGAAACCCTACACAAAATATTTCCACTCTGTTACATCAGTGTAAGTCTCAAATTTGCTAGTTTTAGTTTTGGAAAATAAGACATCTGTTTTTTCTCTAAATACTGATTTCTTTTGGGAGTTATAGATATTCTTTCTCCTACTTTATTGTTGAGGCCTTGCATGTGATTAGCAAACATTCCATTCACAGCACTAACAACACTAAATAATAAATTGAAAGTACACATGTAGACATGGTGAGAGGGGGTGAAAAGCCAACATGACCACTTTATGTTTGAGATATCCATCCACATTGCAGTCATCAAATAAATTGAAAATAATTGATGTAGAAAAGGAAATTTTCTGATATTCCAATACATTGTTTCCTTCTCATACTGCAGTCAATTTCCTAGAAGATCAATGCAGTTACAACCGCAATATAAGTTAGAACTCTGCAGGATTAGAAATTTAACAGTGTTTAATATTTTTGTAATAGTATTTGTATTTACAAAGATATTCAAAATTTATTCTTCTTGAACATTATATGGGTGCTTTTCAAATTTTTGGAGGAATTTACATTATAGAATTATACAGGCTCTGTGGAGAAGGATTACCTTAGGGCATTTTTATATCCCTGACTTGGTAGAAGTTACTAGTGAGTATTTTTTCTAGATTATCCTTTGGTTTGGAAATCCAAAGATTTATTCATTTGCTATAAATTTTCTTTTGAGCAGCCTTTTGTATGTTCTGTATATTTGTCATAGAGTCCCTCAACCTCCACACCAACTCTTCAGGAGTTGAGGGAATTTGCTGACATTTCACTTATCGATGTAAGAGCTGGTTACAGTGAATTCCTTTCTGTCTAAATGCAAAGGCCTTTCAGAACTTAGCACTGCAGGCCTCACTGTGCTGACTACAGTGTATCTGCATCGCAAAGGCCAGCTTCTGCTCTCTTTGTACACTCAGCCACATGACAGCTCTTCAGTGGATTCCCCCTTTGTCAACTCATTCTATCAGACATCTGCTGGACACTCTAGAAATGAATTCAAAATAACAATCATTTTTTGAATCTCTCTGACTGTAAGTGGCATGAACTTTCCATTAAAAATGGGAAAGTATATTCAGTACAGTATGTTAAGATACTTCAGGTGAAATACTGTGCCAGTTATTTGGTAAAGCTTTGACTATGATTGAGGACTAATGTTGTCCACATCGTTTTGAAAAAAGTACACTTTCTGCACATGAGATATAGTAACTAATAAAATGAATACACAGCTCCAAATTTAGATGGCTAGTTCAGTGTTGCTTGCAGTAAATGAAGCCCAAGCATACTGGTATAGAAATTAGCAATGTCCTTAGGTAGTTGTTGACTACATTTATACTCAGATACAAGAGGAAGCAGGGAGTCAGTCGTGGCGGCGCACCCCTGTAATCCCAGCACTCGGGAGCCCGAGGCAGGAGGATCCTTGAGAATTTGAGGCCAGCCTGGGCTACAAAGTGAGCTCAAGGCCAGCTTGAACTGCATAGTGAGACCCTGTCTCAAAAAGACAAAACAAACAACAAACAAACAAAAACAAGGGGAAGCAGGGGAATGGAACATGTATTAGAAATGGAAGAGAGATGTAATCCTCTCCTATAACCAGCAAACTTTAAAGAACTTAGTATGAGTACACAGCTCTTTGGATGATATCTATAGTAAAACACATAATTAATAAGACATATGAATCCCTAATTGGAGAGTTGTTTCTTTAGAGCATGCAGAAAAATGTAATGATTCAACTAGATAATATGCCAAGGAAGCACTATCAACCCAGCGATAATTAAATTGAGATTACAAAATTCTAATTCTTAAACTGTAAATATGTAATTCATGTGGCTTCTAAGGCTTCAGTAATAAAAGAAAGAACAGAAAATTTATAATTGGACCAAACCTTTTATTACATGTCATCAATCTTTGCCACAGCTTTTAACTAACGATGGAATTACTATGAAGACATTAGGGAGAATACGTATATGTTCATGAATGAGGTCTCAGAAGAATTATTGTAAAGAAAATTCATTTCTCAGGATTTTTAAAGATATTATTCTTTAACTTTTAACTTATTTAAAATTGGTGCTATACCATAAAGTGGAAATTTTAACATTTATTGATAAATGCTAATTTTTTTTTTACTATAATGCGATTCATTTATGAAGTCAATTTCAATTCACATAAAGAAATAATTTCATTTAAAAGTAACCCTAACAGGTTTTATTTTACTAATTGTGTTTCTTTGATGATAAACATTAGCATTGTTTAGTTAGAGGCAATAGTTTAGTGGAGAGAGAGGCAATAGTCTTAAGGGTGAATTATAAACAAAAACTTGTGTGCATGCTGCCACACTAACTTATTTTCAATGAGTACTTCATTGATACTAAGCACAAGGGCTGGGGAGATAGCTCAGTGGTGTAAGCGCCTGCCTGGCAAGCACAAGGTCCTGAGTTTGATTGCCCAGTACCAAAAAAAAAATAAATACTAAGCACAGTAACCTACTTAACTGTTATATTTCAGCAAGACTGGACTTGATCCTAAGTAATCTCTCTCCAGATGAATCGGAATCCATGTACATATCAGTATCTACCTAAGAAAGACTTATGAATATTCAGAAATCTAATTTATAAGGAAGCCTAGATAAAATCAATTTCCTTTCTACAGATGTTACTGTCAATCCACTTCCATTATCAAAACAAGCAGCTTCCATCTTTTTAATAATCTCCATGGTTTATTTCCACGTTTATTATTCAGGGCAGTCAGCAAATTTCTAGTAACCACTCCAAGAATATAAGTGACACTCAAATATATTCATGGCTAGTTTCTTGATGATTTTCCCAATTAGAATTAAGTGTAGAAAACCCTTCCTAGAAATAAATTAACTACACATCAGATCGTACAGAAGACACTGCAAACCTGAAAATGTGAACTCGGTTGGACTGCTAAAACTTCAGATGCTTCTAACAAGTTTCACAAATCATCTTGCTTCTCTTAACAACAGCATGTGTTTAAAAAATCTTCATACTGAGGCGGCAGGCACCTGCCTGGGATGCTGCACAGTGGGGCGCGCTGACCCTTTCAGGCCTGGTCCCCCGCCACACAGGTGCCCAGAAAGGCAGGCAGCAGGGGCCCGGGAAGAGGCACACAGTAGAGAACCACCATGTTCAGAAGCACCAACACAATAGGCTCGCCCAGAGACATGCTGAACCATCCCGATATGGAGAAACCTCTGGGAAAACATGCCACACAGTAGGTCGCTCTTGGCCCTGCCCTTGAAAACCACAAAGGTCCAGAGTCAGCGGAGGAGCAGCTGATGAAGAAGGACTCAGAGAACACGAGAGTAACAACGCCCGACGACTCAGACGTCGAGCTGACTGGGGAAACGGGGGCTATTGGGGAGCTGGAAACCGGGAGGACCTTGCGCAATACCTGGGGAGACCTCTTGGCGGCCATTCTTCCCCTAACTGTACAGGCTGCAGTGGAGGAGCAAGTGGAGCTCCAGAGAGGTCTGCACCGAGACTTCATGGATTACATGAGTGCCTGATATTCAGATTCTGAAGAACCACCTTCATGGAGAAGGTGCGTGTCTAGCTTACCTGCCTGGGACACTGATAGTACTGAGACTGACTAGGGGTCGAGAACTTCATCCACATGTTCCTGCCACCCGTTTTGACAGTTGGAGAGAGGACACTAAGTGGTTGCGGGGTCCCAATGTGCTGGGAGGCTGGAGAGAACACCCGTCTGCTTTCTTAGACAAGAGGCATTGATAAAGCATACTTCCCTGGATCCCAGGAAGTATCTCAGTAGAGGGATGAACTATTCTTAAAGATAAGTTTATTACTCAGTCAGCCCCAGGTAGTACAAAAAAGCTACAAGAAATGGCTTTCACCCCAGATGGCTCACTTGAGATGTTAGTAAGAATTACCTCTGCAGTATTGTATAGCCATGATGAGGAGGAGGCCAAGGAGAGAAAACAAAAAGACCGAGAAAAAAATAGCTGCCTTTGTTGCAGCACTAAGAGAAACAGACCCTAAGTCTGATCCTCAAGGCCCCAAGAAGAACTCGTCTACTACATTCATCTGCTACAGCTATCAAAAGCCAGGCCACCTCAACAGGGACGGCCCTAAGAAGCCGCCTAAGCCATGTCCTGACTGTAAAAGTGACCACTAGAGGTCGTACTGCCCTCTGAAGCGAAGGTCCCAGAGCTCAGACCCCTCCTACAGCTGGTCCAAAGGAATGAAGGGGCCCAGGGCATACTCTGCCTTCTCCCTCTGGCCAGACCATTATCTCCAAGGAGGAGCCCCGTGTAATCATGACTATAGAGCAAAAAGTAAACAGCCTGTTGCTGGACACTGATGCTAGTCTCTCGGTCCTTCTTTTCAACCCTGGCCTTCCTTCCAGCCGTCACACCTCAGTGAAAGGAGTCACTGATGAGTAGGTAATCTGCTATTTTTCAAAACTCTTAGGCTGTAACTACTTGTTAAATCTTTCTTGCATATCTGTTTTCCTGAGAAACCACTTAGAAGATACCAACATGTACTACAGCAGCCATTGATAATTTCCTACCAATCTATCCATAACTATGTAATGTTTGTATTGTTCCTACTATATTTTGTAAGTGAATGTATGTTTATTACTATGTGTTTTCAACAACAACCATTGAGAATAGTCAATGATTATTTAATTGATCACTCATGTATAGCTCTAGTTGTTTTCCCTAGAAACCACTTTG